GCGCGTCCAACGCTTGGTCGTCCACGTCCGAAAACCACAAACTTCTGCGAATGAACCTCTGGCGGACGAGTCCCCGGTAATCCGATAAGGGAAACGCGCTCGGGTCGCTTGCCCCACGCAGCGCTGCAGTTTCAATGTTGACATTCCGCTCTCCACCATTCTCATAGATAGGCCTCCGGGCATTGGTATCAGAGTCTAAATTGGGCACCGAGGAGAATGTGGATCCAAGTGGCGGGTCCGAGCCCGAGTCGTCCCCGGAATCCATCCCCGGGAAATGTTTAGACACTTACCGGTGACATTCAGAGGCGACTGCTATTATGGTCCTTCCCCAGCGGTGAGGGAGTGCATACCTTCAACGTTCGCCTGAACTGACGCAGTTAGGCAGCTATACTATCCCTAAAAGAATAATCTCACTTGAGATATCTGGCATATTTATAAAATGCCAGTTGATGATGACAAACTCTTATAACAGGTGCAATGGTGCCACTGCTTGACTTAATGCGGCTCAGCTTATCACAAATCCAGCCAGCCAGCCAATTGAAATGTTGCATTAATAAATTACAATGTAATTCATTCCTATTTTATGCAGTTTCTCTAAAGCCTTTGATTATTGCAACATTGCTTTTTCAACTGATAAAATTTGTTACAGTGTAGAAGCAGAACTCGTGGTAGGTAGAACTGCTACAATAAACACTCATGGACAGTTGTCGTGCCAGGATAGTTCCCTGTCTCTCTCTAATCCCTCAAAATAACCATCACATGCAAATGTCAGGTGCGCAGCTGTGACCGCTATAATCCTAGGCTAGTCGATCCCGTAGCTGGTTATTGAGTATTCATTACAGTTATTTCTTGATTTAAAAGCAGAATGAAGTCAGGGACGTGTGACCACCACATCAATGCATCGCCCCCATCGCATCACTCCGTTAACTATTCGCCTCCGCTGGGGGGAAGTTCCTCTGTTGAGCGGTGTCCGGGAGCAGAGTAGAAGCGCTGGTCAGATTGTTTGCTCACTGCGGCAGAGTATTCTCCCAGTGTGGATGATGTGCTCAGAGCATCTCACCGTTCGTTCGGACTATATTTGTGCGCTGTCTTTCTCAATTTACACTTTCCATGGCAAGGAGACAAGTCCATTTTAAAGACACAGATCCACGCCCCTAGCAACAACACATATCCAATAAATGCGCACGTTTTTAGGCGGTACCTTCAGCCTCCGTGACAGGGGTTGTTATGGACCGACCACACCACTCGCTGTGTCCTCCCATCCTCTGCATGACGCTACGGTAGCCAATAGGGGGTGGACGCTCACCTGTGCGGCAGAAACCTGCAAATTATAGCCAATATGTGATCACTATAGGATAATTGCCTATTCTATTCTACTGAATTTAACTAAACTAAAATAGAATAGAATTGGACAGCATGCAAATGATCACTGATTAGTAATTGCTTGTTCTTGATGGAATAAAATATATATTCTATTCATTTGAGTTAAGTTCAGTAGAATAAAATAGAATAGAATATAACAAAATAGAATAGATTGGAATGTAATAGAATAGAATAGTCTGCAAATGATAGCCTTAAAGTGATCAGCGATGACAAATTCCCACTGGGCACACACTGAAATTAAATTGAACCAACGTGGAATAGACGTTGAGATTACTTCTGTGCCCAGAGGGATGTTTGTTCTTGATGGGCTATAATATATATTTTATTCAGTTCAGTTCAGTTCTACAGTTATTCCGTTCTTATTTCTTATTAGCGCCAAACTGTTGGATTGAAACTTGAACATGATGAGTGCTATTTTTGCCCATACAGAGTTTTCACCTGTATGGAGAGTTGGCCAAGGCTTTCGACTCTGTCAACCACCGCATTCTTATTGGCAGACTAAATAGCCTTGGTTTCTCAAATGACTGCCTCGCCTGGTTCACCAACTACTTCTCAGATAGAGTTCAATGTGTCAAATCGGAGGGCCTGTTGTCTGGACCTATGGCAGTCTCTATGGGGGTGCCACAGGGTTCAATTCTTGGGCCGACTCTTTTCTCTGTGTATATCAACGATGTCGCTCTTGCTGCTGGTGACTCTCAGATCCACCTCTACGCAGACGACACCATTTTGTATACATCTGGCCCTTCATTGGACACTGTGTTAACAAACCTCCAAACGAGCTTCAATGCCATACAACACTCCTTCAGTAGCCTCCAACTGCTCTTAAACACTAGTAAAACTAAATGCATGCTCTTCAATCGAATGCTGCTGGCATCCGCCCACCCGACTAGAATCAATACTCTCGTCTGACCTAAAGTATGTGGACAACTACAAATACCTAGGTGTCTGGTTAGACTGTAAACTCTCCTTCCAGACTCACATTAAGCATCTCCAATCCAAAGTTAAATCTAGAATCGGCTTCCTATTTCGCAACAAAGCCTCCTTCACTCATGCTGCCAAACATGCCCTCGTAAAACTGACTATCCTACGGATCCTTGACTTCGGCGATATCATTTACAAAATAGCCTCCAACACTCTACTCAGCTAATTGGATGTTGTCTATCACAGTGCCATCCGTTTTGTCACCAAAGCCCCATATACAACCCACCACTGTGACCTGTACGCCCTTGTTGGCTGGTCCTCACTACATATTCGTCGCCAAACCCACTGGCTCCAGATCATCTATAAATCACTTCTAGGCAAATCCCCACCTTATTTTAGCTCATTGGTCACCATAGCAACACCCACCCGTAGTATGCGCTCCAGCAGGTATATCTCACTGGTCATCCCCAAAGCCAACACCTCCTTTGGCCGCCATTCCTTCCAGTTCTCTGCTGCCAATGACTGGAACGAATTGCAAAAATCTCTGAAGCTGGAGACTCTTATCTCCCTCACTAACTTTAAGCATCAGTTGCCAGAGCACCTTACCGATCACTGAAATTAGCCCACCCAACTACCTCATACCCATATTGTTATTTATTTTACTAATTTGCACCCCAGTATCTCTATTTGCACATTAGCTCTTGCACATCTATCATTCCAGTGTTAATACTAATTGTAATTATTTTGCACTATGGCCAATTTATTGCCTTACCTCCATAACTTGCTACATTTGAACACACTGAATATATATATTTTCTGTTGTATTTTTGACTTTATGTTTTGTTTTACCTCATATGTAACTCTGTGATGTTGTTTTTATCGCACTGCTTTGCTTTATCTTGGCCAGGTCGCAGTTGTAAATGAGAACTTGTTCTCAACTGGCTTACCTGGTTAAATAAAGGTGAAATAAATAAATAAAATAAAACAGTGCATTCGGAAAGTATTCAGACCCCTTCACTTTTTCCACATTTTGTTACCTTACAGCCTTATTCTATTCTTTCTTTTTTTAATCTCATGAATCTACACACAATACCCCATAATGACAAAGAGAAAATAGGTTTTTAGAAATATTTGCAAAACAGAAATACCTTATTTACATAAGTATTCAGACCCTTTGCTATGAGACTCGAAATTTAGCTCAGGTGCATCCTGTTTCCATTGATCATCCATGAGATGTTTCTACAACTTGATTGGAGTCCACCTGTGGTAAATTCAATTAATTGGACATGATTTGAAAAGGCACACACCTGTCTATATAAGGTCCCACAGTTGACAGTGCATGTCAGAGCGAAAACCAAGCCATGAGGTCAAAGGAATTGTCCGTAGAGCTCCGAGACAGGATTGTGTCGAGGCACAGATCTGGGGAAGGGTACCAAAACATTCCTGCAGCATTGAATGTCCCCAAGAACACAGTGGCCTCCATCATTCTTAAATGGAAGAAGTTTGGAACCACCAAGACTCTTCCTAGAGCTGAGGAAACTGAGCAATCGGGGCAGAACGACCTTGGTCAGAGAGGTGACCAAGAACCCGATGGTCACTCTGACAGAGCTCCAGCGTTCCTCTGTGGAGAACCTTCCAGAAGGACTACCATCTCTGCAGCAAGATTGAACTCTTTGGCCTGAATGACAAGCGTCACGTCTGAAGGAAACCTAGCACCATCCCTACGGTGAAGCATGGGGGTGGCAACATCATGCTGTGGGGACGTTTTTAGCGGCAGGGACTGGTAGACTAGTCAGCATCGAGGGAAAGATGAACGGAGCAAAGTACAGAGAGATCCTTAATGAAAACCAAAATGTGGAAAAAGTGAAGCGGTCTGAATACTTTCCGAATGCAAAATTGCCGCTAGTCAAGTGTTCTGCCTCTGAAAATATATATTGAAGATGTACACAAGATGGCACCTTCAGCATTGGAAATTGGAATATTATTCTGACTCATTCTGCAACAGTTAGGTTATTCAATTGATGCTGAAATGGTGTTTGGGAAGATTTTTCACCAAAGGCTATACATATGGGCTCTTGAGTGGCGCAGCGGTCTACGGCACTGCATCTCAGTTCTTGAGGCGTCACTACAGACCCCCTGGTTCGATTCCAGGCTGTATCACAACCGGCCATGATTGGGAGTCCCATAGGGCGAGGCACAATTGGCCCAGCGTCGTCCGGGTTTGGTCCGTGTAGGCCGTCATTGTAAATAAGAATTTGTTCTTAACTGACTTGCCTAGTTAAATAAAAATAAAAAATATCAGGTTTTGCCCAAAGTTAGAATCAGTGGACTGTAATTGGTCAGATCAACGGTAATTTACATAATTTCATGAAAACCCTATATTGTATTTTTGATTTTGTGAAACTCTGTGGAATCCCTTGTTTTTCGCCCAAATGAAAGGGTAATTCCTTAATTATCAAAACATGACAATTCAGGGGCTACTTTCAGTTTCTCTTGACCCCAGTTTAGAGACGCCCCCTAGTGAAGGGCGGTAGTCATTCCTCCACATCTTCCCATTTTAGACCTATTTCACACAGCGACCGACCCGGCGAGCACTGGCAGAGACACAACGACACAGACTCCCACAACACATTTAGGAATTTAACCCGCTTTAGTTTAAATTCAATAGTTAAGAGGCAAATATGGCGACTGAAAACATGGCAATGAACGGAGAGGCCGACCGAGAGAACGGAGGAGAGGTAAGATAGGCGTCGATGCAAGAAGCTGCGAGTCTGCAGTCTGCAGTCTGCAACAGAGGCCAGCCCTAACCTATGAAAAGTGTTTGTTTTTTCATAGAAAAACGTCCATAATCTATGCCGCAGCCTACTGCATCTTGGTTACATTGTAACCTAACCATTATAGCCGATCATATATGCTAAAATGTAACCATTTCTCGCTATGCAGGAAGTTTATCGGTAGTTCATTTATTTACATCTCACATTCTGTGCTGTAACTTTTCTTTGTGGGGCTTCAACAGGACTAATCTAAATTAAGCACCAGTCTTGTCTGAAAGATTGCAAACCCAATGCAATAGATTTACTCGTAGCCTATAATGGTTTTTGCTTGTAGTTTTACGGGTAGTGACTACGCGCTATGCTCGTGAAAAGTAAAATCCGCAGAAATACAATGACTGACACGTGCCTGTTGTCATGGGGATTATGCTCCTGAACAGTGGATATTTTATGAGATTGGGAGCATAGCCAGTGGGCCTGTTGGTGGCCTCAGCAGCCTATTTCAAAGACCATTGTCACGCGAACCTTGGAACTAGATCAGGGTTTCTATTACAGCTAATGAAGTCATTCATTCTAGTCCAAAACCCACCTGTTGAGGATTAGGTGTGAGATCATAGCCATGCTCCGGATTTATGCTACCTACACCAGGGGAATCCCTTATTTACATTGACATTTTAGTCATTTAGCAGACGCTCTGATTTACAGGAGCAATTAGGGTTAAGTGCCTTGCTTAAACCTAGTCGGCTCAGGGATTAGAACCAGCGACCTTTCGGTTACTGGCACAACGCTCTTACCCACTAAGCTACCTGCAGCATGATGTTGCTACATGCAACTTGAACAACGCATGATTTTATGTAGCCTGTTGACTATCCTTCAAATATTATGTTGATGTGTTTGAAAACCCAAATCATGAAAAGTATCAGAGAACTTGATCTACCAAGGAATTGATCCAACAATGTTGGGTAGCAAGAAGATGGCAAGAATGTTGTTGTCAATTGTTTATAATCAACCAAATTATGTTGCATTATAACACAGTTATAACCAAATCACAGTTAAAGGTACTTATTTATGACATTAGTCAGCTTAATAGATAATTATATCACTATACTGGAGAGGTCTGAACAGGATATGAAAGAAGATACTGAAGATACACACACACTAAAAATACATTACACAATGAGAAAGTGGGGGGAAGTGGTGATTTCCCACTGATGTGTCAAAGTCAGAGCAGGTTATCCAGGGGCCTTGTTTGTGAATAGGTGACATATACTAAGGGGGAAGCCACATAATTGTAAAGTTACTAACCCAGAGTAAACACCTGTTACACCACGACAAGAGGTCATAACCATGTCAAAGGCCAAAGGAAAGCATGTAGAATTCCCCACAAGTCCCCATTGATGTAGGTAGAGTGTTAAGTGCTATGTGGTTGTTAATATTTGGTGTAATATGGCAAAGAAAACAAACATTCCTATGGGCAAAGGTAAACACCCTTCCCACCAAGCAAGAGTTTACAAAAAACTACAACAAAGTTTAGGCCTACTCAGTGTCTGTGTCCAAAATGGCACCCTGGCCTATTCTCTAGCTACCAGAGACCTGGTCAAAAGTAGTGCACTATATAGGAAGTAGGGTGCCATTTCGGACCCATTCAGTGTTTACATAATTATGCAGGACGCTTTCAAATCATCACTCAGTATTGATTTGTCTTGTTGGGGGTCTTCCGAAAACGAAATGTTTACTTAGCCTTAGATACCATTCATCCCCATCTCTCACAGTCACACAATGCTTAATGGTACAATTATCTGTTTGGCTGGCAGAGATATTAGATAGATGAGAGTTGGGCTCAAGCCTGGGAATTAATGAAGAAGGTAGAAAAGCATATCCAACTATCAGGTGCTATAATTTAAAAAAATCAATGAATGAAATAGAATGAAATAGAATGTCCGCAACTCTGTCATTCTCCTCAGTGGTGTTTTCAAGGTTGTCTGTTGTGCGTCTTGTAGAAAACACTGCAATTCTTTAAAAAAGGAATACCCTCTTCGGAGAACATATTTTGAAAGTCCAACATCCCAAGTGAATCACATAGCATTGAGCAACATAAAGGAGGTGTCCAGTCTGAGCCCGCTCTGCTCTGTGAGCAAAGGGACATAATGGCCTGGGATTCTGGAAATTATTGACATTTAGGTAATGATGACTCAGAAAAGTCCTGATCAAACTCAATGGAAAACAACTGTGCGAACATCGAGCTCTGTTAGAGTTTGTTGTTTTTACCCATCAGTGTTGATCTTAAACCTGCAGCTTATACTGATTGTTGAGTCTAGTTGTTCAGATAGAAGCAACATGAAGAGCCCACATGTGAACCTCACAGTCAAACAACAACAGTTGTTCAGTTGATGTACTACCAGTGTATGAACCAGGAGGGCAGAGGGTGGGTAGGAAAAAAGAGAGCTGAGAGGGACTCCCATCTCTACATGAGCAACAACATTGTTTGGTCAGCAGTGTTTGTCCCACAATGATCTGTTTGTTACTCAACAATCATGCTTAAGAAAGGTGTCTGGAATCACCAGAATACGTAATACAGTACATGTACTGTATCTCATCCTGTTATAACACTCTGGACATCAGCAGCAGAGGCAAGTCCCTCCTTGGCCAGAGAGAGGAAGAGGGACAGATAACCAGACACTGAGGACAAGGCCATCAGAAAGTTCCTTCATTAAGTATTTCTAGAACATTGTTAAGTTATGAATACAGCAGTATAGGAATCTAGCCCATTTGAAGGACAAAGACATGGACAACAAGATCGAGTGAGAAAAATGGCACACAAAAAACTGGACCAGAGAAAGGGAGTGAGAGTCAGAGAATGGAATGAATGAAAGACAAAGAAAGATCAGTGCAGGAATTTGAGGGTTATAAGTCAGTGAAGGAAAGCAGGCTGCTTCTAAGAGATAACTGTCCAAACATTGCTAGCCTCGGTCACAAAGACAACTTTTTCCTCTGTGGGCTGTGAGTGTTTTTAGAGGTGGTGAGAGGCATGTGGATATGGGTTACTCTGTTTTACACTGCCAACCTGGGCACAAGGCTCTCTTTGTTGGTTTTTGGACTGTTCCACCCAAAATAAACACTCTGTCCTCAACCCACAAAGACACCTGGGTAATGTTTGGTTTAGGAATCCCACTTTTCCAATGATGTAACAATTTAACATCATATTTTCCGACCCGCTCTACTGCAGGGTGGTAAGGTAGAGAAGAGACCTTCCTCCACAGGGTGAACAGCTTTCTCTTGGTTTTCAGCTTCAGTATCTACACCCTGGGTGACAAGAAACTGAAGAGAAGTCATAGCACATGATCTCTTGACCTCCCTTCCTTTCTATCAGTTCTCTGTGCACCGAGGGCAAGTCACCATGTACCGACGGCATGGTCACACTTCCTGCTAAAATAGTCCCACAACACTTTCATTTCCCACAAATCCACAGTAGTGTCACTGTAGCAATCCCCAGAATGTCCCCATACTTCCATTACAACTTTTTCCTCCTAATTACGCTGAAGGTCAATATGACATAGTAAAAAGTTCAGTGAAGACATTAACTCATCATAGTGTTCATATAATGTAGTATAGGACCAGCCTCTTATATAATAATAATAATAATATAATTAACAGTGTGCTTCCCTCCAGGTTCACTTACAACTGTATCCTGACAGTGATGTACCTGGGTTAACATTTACATTACATTTACGTCATTTAGCAGACGCTCTTATCCAGAGCGACTTACAAATAGGTGCATTCACCTTATAGCCAGTGGGATAACCACTTTACAATGATTTTATTTATTATTTTTATTTTTTTTGGGGGGGGGGGGGGGGGGGGGTTGGGGTAAGGGGGGGGTAGAAGGATTACTTTATCCTATCCCAGGTATTCCTTAAAGAGGTGGGGTTTCAAATGTCTCCGGAAGGTGGTGAGTGACTCCGCTGTCCTGGCGTCGTCAGGGAGCTTGTTCCACCATTGGGGTGCCAGAGCAGCGAACAGTTTTGACTGGGCTGAGCGGGAACTATGCTTCCGCAGAGGTAGGGGAGCCAGCAGGCCAGAGGTGGATGAACACAATGCCCTCGTTTGGGTGTAGGGACTGATCAGAGCCTGAAGGTACGGAGGTGCCGTTCCCCTCACAGCTCCGTAGGCAATCACCATGGTCTTGTAGCAGATGTGAGCTTCAACTGGAAGCCAGTGGAGTGTGCGGAGGAGCGGGGTGACGTGAGAGAACTTGGGAAGGTTGAACACCAGACGGGCTGCGGCATTCTGGATGAGTTGTAGGGGTTTAATGGCACAGGCAGGGAGCCCAGCCAACAGCGAGTTGCAGTAATCCAGACGGGAGATGACAAGTGCCTGGATTAGGACCTGTGCCGCTTCCTGTGTAAGGCAGGGTCGTACTCTTCGAATGTTGTAGAGCATGAACCTACATAATCGGGTCACCGCCTTGATGTTAGCGGAGAACGACAGGGTGTTGTCCAGGGTCACGCCAAGGCTCTTCGCACTCTGGGAGGAGGACACAACGGAGTTGTCAACCGTGATGGCGAGATCATGGAACAGGCAGTCCTTCCCCGGGAGGAAGAGCAGCTCCGTCTTGCCAAGGTTCAGCTTGAGGTGGTGATCCGTCATCCATACTGATATGTCTGCCAGACATGCAGAGATGTGATTCGCCACCTGGTTATCAGAAGATTAGAAGAAGATTAGTTGTGTGTTGTCAGCGTAGCAATGATAGGAGAGGCCATGTGAGGATATGACAGAGCCAAGTGACTTGGTGTATAGCGGGAATAGGAGAGGGCCTAGAACTGAGCCCTGGGGGACACCAGTGGTGAGAGCACGTGGTGCGGAGACAGCTTCTCGCCACGCCACTTGGTAGGAGCGACCGGTCAGGTAGGACGCAATCCAAGAGTGAGCCGCGCCGGAGATGCCCAGCTCGGAGAGGGTGGAGAGGAGGATATGATGGTTCACAGTATCAAAGGCAGCAGACAGGTCTAGAAGGACAAGAGCAGAGGAGAGAGAGTTAGCTTTAGCAGTGCGGAGAGCCTCCGTGACACAGAGAAGAGCAGTCTCAGTTGAATGACCAGTCTTGAAACCTGACTGGTTTGGATCAAGAAGGTAATTCTGAGACAGATAGCAAGAGAGTTGGCTAAAGACGGCACGCTCAATAGTTTTGGAGAGAAAAGAAAGAAGGGATACTGGTCTGTAGTTGTTGACATCAGAGGGATCGAGTGTTGGTTTTTTGAGAAGGGGTGCAACTCTCGCTCTCTTGAAGACGGAAGGGACATAGCCAGCGGTCAAGGATGAGTTGATCAGCGAGGTGAGGTAAGGGAGAAGGTCACTGGAGATGGTCTGGAGAAGAGAGGAGGGGATAGGGTCAAGCGGGCAGGTTGTTGGGCGGCCTGCCGTCACAAGTCGCAATATTTTATCTGGAGAGAGAGGGGAGAAAGAAGTCAAAGCATAGGGTAGGGCAGTGTGAGCAGGACCAGCGGTGTTGTTTGACTTAACAAACGAGGATCGGATGTCGTCAACCTTCTTTTCAAAATGGTTGACGAAGTCATCCACAGAGAGGGAGGAGGGGGAGGGGGGGGGGGGGGGGGGGGGGGGGATTCAGCAGGGAGGAGAATGTGGCAAAGAGCTTCCTAGGGTTAGAGGCAGATGCTTGGAATTTAGAGTGGTAGAAAGTGGCCTTAGCAGCAGAAACAGATGAAGAAAATGTAGAGAGGAGGGAGTGAAAAGATGCCAGGTCCGCAGGGAGTCTAGTTTTCTTCCATTTCCGCTCAGCTGCCCGGAGCTCTGTTCTGTGAGCTCGCAATGAGTCATCAAGCCACGGAGCTGGAGTGGAGGACCGAGCCGGCCGGGAGGATAGGGGACATAGAGAGTCAAAGGATGCAGAAAGGGAGGAGAGGAGGGTTGAGGAGGCAGAATCAGGAGATTGGAGGGAGAAGGATTGAGCAGAGGGAAGAGATGATAGGATGAAAGAGGAGAGAGTAGCGGGAGAGAGAGAGCGAAGGTTGCGACGGTGCATTACCATCTGTGTAGGGGCAGAGTGAGTAGTGTTGGAGGAGAGGGAGAGAGAAAAGGATACAAAGTAGTGGTCGGAGACTTGGAGGGGAGTTGCAGTGAGATTAGTAGAACAACAGCATCTAGTAAAGATGAGGTCAAGCGTATTGCCTGCCTTGTGAGTAGGGGGGGACGGTGAGAGGGTGAGGTCAAAAGAGGAGAGGAGTGGAAAGAAGGAGGCAGAGAGAAATGAGTAAAATGTAGATGTAGGGAGGGTGAAATCCCCCAGAACTGTGAGGGGTGAGCCATCCTCAGGAAAGGAACTTATCAAGGCGTCAAGCTCATTGATGAACTCTCCAAGGGAACCTGGAGGGCGATAGATGACAAGGATAATAAGCTTAAATGGGCTAGTGACTGTGACAGCATGGAATTCAAATGAGGAGATAGACAGATGGGTCAGGGGAAAAATTGAGAATGTCCACTTGGGAGAGATGAGGATTCCTGTGCCACCACCCCGCTGACCAGATGCTCTCGGGGTATGCGAGAACACATGGTCAGACGAGGAGAGAGCAGCAGGAGTAGCAGTGTTTTCAGTGGTAATCCATGTTTCCGTCAGCGCCAAGAAGTCGAGGGACTGGAGGGTAGCATAGGCCGAGATCAACTCTGCCTTGTTGGCAGCAGAACGGCAGTTCCAGAGGCTGCCTGAGACCTGGAACCCCACGTGGGAGGTGCGTGCAGGGACCACCAGGTTAGAGAGGCAGCAGCCACGTGGTGTGAGGCGTTTGTGTAGCCTGTGCGGAGAGGAGAGAACAGGGATAGGCAGAGGCATAGTTGACAGGCTGCAGCAGATGGCTACAATAATGCAGAGGAGATCGGAATGAAATGAACTAAACATCTGGGAAAGGAGAGAGCGGGGCCTCCCTCACCACAACTCCCAAATATAACTCTCCCAACTTCCACCTCAGAAACTATAATTGTTGTAAACTACAGCGGTTCAATGTTCTCTAGGAATAGACTAACTTAGTTTATTCAGCTAGCTAACTAGGTGCAGTATTATTCCGTGAAAATCGTCCGGGCACCTCGTCATAAGACGCCACAGCCAGCTAGCATGCCGGACTCCAACAACACGGTTTAGCGCCAATACTCGGCCACAACAAACCACCAGTGTATCAACACGCAAGCAGATCGTTCGTGTCCGTGTCTAACGTTGTGGGTTAGTCCCGACAGCTTGAGCGAGTCCGTCGTCAACTTATTCAGCCAGTTAGTTAGCTAGAATAGTTAGCAAACTAGCTAGCCATTGCTTTCAGACAAAGAAGAACCCCTCCTTTCACGGCACGAACACACAGCGAGAGCCAAACTAACGTTAACTAGTCACCCATGTCCTGAATTCCTTGAACGACTCGGGCTATCAATATGTAGAAGAAAAAAAAACACAAATGTAGGTTATGACTTACCCCTAGCAGCTACTGTTAGCTAGCCAAGTGCAAAGCTAGCCACTGAATTGACTCAGCCAGTTCGCGTCTGTTCGCTCGGTCGTTCCAGCTATTGTTTAAGTCCATAGACATATGGATGGATATACATTACAGTGGGGGGGGAAAAGTATTTAGTCAGCCACCAATTGTGCAAGTTCTCCCACTTAAAAAGATGAGAGAGGCCTGTAATTTTCATCATAGGTACACGTCAACTATGACAGACAAATTGAGAAAATGTTTTCCAGAAAATCACATTGTAGGATTTTTTATGAATTTATTTGCAATTTATGGTGGAAAATAAGTATTTGGTCACCTACAAACAAGCAAGATTTCTGGCTCTCACAGACCTGTAACTTCTTCTTTAAGAGGCTCCTCTGTCCTCCACTCGTTACCTGTATTAATGGCACCTGTTTGAACTTGTTATCAGTATAAAAGACACCTGTCCACAACCTCAAACAGTTACACTCCAACCTCCACTATGGCCAAGACCAAAGAGCTGTCAAAGGACACCAGAAACAAAATTGTAGACCTGCACCAGGCTGGGAAGACTGAATCTGCAATAGGTAAGCAGCTTGGTTTGAAGAAATCAACTGTGGGAGCAATTATTAGGAAATGGAAGACATACAAGACCACTGATAATCTCCCTCGATCTGGGGCTCCACGCAAGATCTCACCCCATGGGGTCAAAATGATCACAAGAACGGTGAGCAAAAATCCCAGAACCACACGGGGGGACCTAGTGAATGACCTGCAGAGAGCTGGGACCAAAGTAACAAAGCCTACCATCAGTAACACACTACGCCGCCAGGGACTCAAATCCTGCAGTGCCAGATGTGTCCCCCTGCTTAAGCCAGTACATGTCCAGGCCCGTCTGAAGTTTGCTAGAGTGCATTTGGATGATCCAGAAGAGGATTGGGAGAATGTCATATGGTCAGATGAAACCAAAATAGAACTTTTTGGTAAAAACTCAACTCGTCGTGTTTGGAGGACAAAGAATGCTGAGTTGCATCCAAAGAACACCATACCTACTGTGAAGCATGGGGATGGAAACATCATGCTTTGGGGCTGTTTTTCTGCAAAGGGACCAGGACGACTGATCCCTGTAAAGGAAAGAATGAATGGGGCCATGTATCGTGAGATTTTGAGTGAAAACCTCCTTCCATCAGCAAGGGCATTGAAGATGAAACGTGGCTGGGTCTTTCAGCATGACAATGATCCCAAACACACCGCCCGGGCAACGAAGGAGTGGCTTCGTAAGAAGCATTTCAAGGTCCTGGAGTGGCCTAGCCAGTCTCCAGATCTCAACCCCATAGAAAATCTTTGGAGGGAGTTGAAAGTCCGTGTTGCCCAGCGACAGCCCCAAAACATCACTACTCTAGAGGAGATCTGCATGGAGGAATGGGCCAAAATACCAGCAACAGTGTGTGAAAACCTTGTGAAGACTTACAGAAAACGTTTGACCTGTGTCATTGCCAACAAAGGGTATATAACAAAGTATTGAGAAACTTTTGTTATTGACCAAATACTTATTTTCCACCATCATTTGCAAATAAATTCATAAAAAATCCTACAATGTGATTTTCTGGATTTTTTTTCTCATTTTGTCTGTCATAGTTGACGTGTACCTATGATGAAAATTACAGGCCTCTCTCATCTTTTTAAGTGGGAGAACTTGCACAATTGGTGGCTGACTAAATACTTTTTTCCCCCACTGTATATGTTTATACTGAACATCATTGCTGTCTTTGTCTAGTCTATGTTGTACTAATGTTAGTCTCTCTGTATTCATGTTAGGTTCCACACCCTAGTCGCTGGAGACAGAGGGAGACGGGGGGTGCTCTGAACATGAACCACTACGCCAATAAGAAGAGTGCAGCAGAAAGCATGCTGGATGTGGCATTACTCATGGCCAATGCGTCCCAGCTGAAGGCTGTCCTGGAGCAGGGCCCAGGGTTCACCTTCTACACCCCTCTCATCACCCTCATCTCCATCTCCCTTATCCTGCAGGTCACTGTGGGCATCCTGCTCATCTTCATCGGTGGGTCTCAGTTCTATTCTCATCAACTTTATTAATCCCCCCCAGTGGTAAGTTAAGAAAGTCATAGACACTCTGTCTGACTCTGGCGCTAACCAGCAACTGGTTGCTTCCCAATAATATCTCCTTTCTCCTGAAGAGTGAAGTCATTCAATACTTCCCACAAATCTAAAAGCATTGGATTGGTGGAGGCATGGGATAGGAGTTTCCACCATATTTCTTATCCCAATCATTCCATTTTTTATTTCAAATCAGTGAAGGGAAGTGAACACTTTGGGATGAAGGAGAGATAATTGGGACATAGCCACAAATTGATGAGGCATGGGCCAGGAGCGTAGAAATATAATGAATAGAACAGGCTTGGAACCTCTTACCCTGACAATTTTACTGGTAAACTCCTGGGTACACTCACAATGGCTGCCTGGTATTGTGATGCAATAATTTCCATGGTAATCTAGAATGTTAATTCAAATTAAGGAATACCTGGAATAGTATAAAGTTATCCTTCTTCCCCCACCCCCCATAAAAAATAATAAAATCAAGTGGTTGTCCCACTGTCTATCATAAGTTGAATGCACCAATTTGTAATTCGCTCTGGATAAGAGGGTCTGCTAAATGATGTAAATGTAAATTATGCTAACTGATGTGGCTCATGCAATGGAATTTATTTTTTTGTAATGTCAGTTGAGTTGATTCAACAAATCAATGCACTAATTGATGGGTACCTGCTTTGCTCCTACTGGTACACTCAAAATGGCTGCCAGTCCACCCATTATGCCATCATTGACTTGAATGGGGAGGCCCGTTCTATTCATTTTATTTCTGTGGCCAGGAGTTTATCCTGACTATGTGACCTGACCCCCCATATGACATGGTCAGGGAAAACTCCTAACATTATTGATGAGACATGAACACTTGATTTATGGTACTATTGTTTCTCCTCAGCTCCAGGAATAGACAAACTCCCTGACCCTACTTTATGATTGAATACCAACAAACATTATGAGCTCTATTTTAACAAACTTAACGCAATGGTAGATCTAAGAGCTGGCGGTAGCGCTGTATGTCGGGCGGTGTGTCAGAAATATATATTTAATTTTTTTGTCAGAAATATTTTAGCTATTTTCACAGCCGAAATTATGAGCGCAATAGCTGGCGGTGGCGCGAAAGGGCAAATTTTTGATGAATAAGGAAGTTATAGGTGTGACGAGGGCTTTGCCATTGCTGTTGAAAACAGCCGTAGTAGCTTAGGGTAAGGGTAGCCTATGGAGGTTAATCGGACATGAGGCGGTCTTTGAAAATGGGGAAGGATAGCCTACTTGAACAAGCGAAATGAAGTATGCAGGTATGTGAATTGTGAATAATGAAAAACCTCCAAAATATTTCAAAGCATTCTCAGTAGACCATTTAAAAGCCCTCTTCATAGGCTACTTGGCTAATGGCAAGGATAAAAAGACGCATCTATGCGATGCTGCTAAACGAGCCTGGATTAAGGGGAGGGTAGGCTATGCTTGGTTTTTAATCAAATTAAATGAAATAGGGGAAACAAATACTTTTTTAATGTTTCTAAATATGAGATTCACCAGCACAAAAGGCACATCTCTCTTCCATGGGCACTGTGCGTCATGGCTGGATAGGCTGCGCTTCCACTCTCAAAATCCATGCCATTATCAACTGCGTTACCATTAAGACCTGCTTTTTGTGGGTCTTAAACTTCCCATTAGCACTGCATGAAATTGTAACTTTTGCCCCTTGTTTTTAAGGACACAACTCAAATATTGCCACCCCTCCTACTTCAGCGCAAACGGGCTGATGTTAGACAGGTAAATTGCCAAACCTGCCGTTAGGGCTGGAAAATGCCAGTGTGTGAGTTTTTACATGACGAAATTGCAAACTAACATGCTTTTGACACTTGTGCCTCAACACCAGCCGAAAATAGAGCCCTATGTGTGTCTGTAGGCCAGAGAATGGCTCTCTCAGCTAAAACAATATTATCTATGTACTGAGAGAAGCCTTGTCCATCACACCCCTGGCCATAATATCCTTATGTTCCCCTGCCAGGAGCTCCCATTGTGTGGGTGGGAGAGTTCAAAAATGAGACCATTGTATTTCTCCTCTGAGCTGGTTCAAATTAGGAATACTCAGCTTAATGTCCTGAGGGGGAATTGCTAACGTTACAGGAGTTGTGTCTCTGAACTGAGACAGCATTTGAAAAATGCTAAACTAAACTGGGCCCCAACTAACTCTCACCACAACCTCCACAACATATTAGCCTTCATCTCCAGTGAGGCATACAGTGCATTCAGAAAGTATTCAGACCCCTTGACTTTTTCCACATTTTGTTACGTTACAGCCTTATTCTAAAATTGATTAAATTGTTTTATCCCCTCATCAATCTACACACAATACCCAATAATGACAAAGCAAAAACAGGTTTTTGGAAAATTTTACAAAGAGGTTTTTTTTTTTTTACTGAAATATGACATTTACATAAGTATTCAGACCCTTTACTCAGTACTTTGTTGAAGCACCTTTGGCAGCGATTACAGCCTTGAGTCTTATTGGGTATGATGCCACAAGCTTGGCACACCTGTATTTGGGGAGTTTCTCCCATTCTTCTCCGCAGATCTTCTCAAGCTCTGTCAGGATGAATGGGGAGCATCTCTGCACAGCTATTTTCAGGTCTCTCCAGAGATGTTCGAACGGGTTCAAGTCCGGGCTCTGGCTGGGCCACTCAAGGACATTCAGAGACTTGTCCCGAAGCCACTCCTGAGTTATCTTGGCTGTGTGCTTAGGGTCGTTGTCCTGTTGGAAGGTGAACCGTCGCCCCAGTCTGAGGTCCTGAGCGCTCTGGAGCAGGTTTTCATCAAGGATCTCTCTGTACTTTGCTCTGTTCATCTTTCCCTCGATCCTGACTAGTCTCTCAGTCCCTGCCACTGAAAAACATCCCCACAGAATGATGCTGCCACCACCATGCTTCACCGTAGGGATGGTGCCAGGTTTCCTCCAGACGTGATGCTTAGCATTCAGGCCAAAGAGTTCAACCTTGGTTTCATCAGACCAGAGAATCTTGTTTCTTATGGTCCGCAAGTCCTTTAGGTGCCTTTTCGCAAACTCCAAGCAGGCTGTCATGTGCCTTTTACTGAGGAGGGGCTTCAGTCTGGCCTGATTGGTGGAGTGCTGCAGAGATGGTTGTCCTTCTGGAAGGTTCTCCCATCTCCACAGAGGAACTCTGGAGCATAACCAAGGCCCTTCTCCCCTGATTGCTCAGTTTGGCCGGGCGGCCAGCTCTAGGCAGAGTCTTGGTGGTTCCAAACTTCTTCCATTTAAGAATGATGGAGGCCACTGTGTTCTTGGGGACCTTCAATTCTGCATAATTGTTTTGGTACCCTTCCCCATATCTGTGCCTCGACACAATCATGTCTCGGAATTCCTTTGACCTCATGGCTTGGTTTTTGCTCTGACATGCACAGTCAACTGTGGGACCTTATATAGACAGGTGTGTGCCTTTCCAAATCATGTCCACAGGTGGACTCCAATCAAGTTGTAGAAACATCTCAAGGATGATCAATGGAAACAGGATGCACCTGAGCTCAATTTTGAGTCTCATAGCAAAGGGTCTGAATACTTATGTAAATTAGGTAGTTGTGTTTTTAATTTTTATAAATTTGCAAACATTTCGAAAAACCTGTTTTCGCTTTGTCATTATGGGGTATTGTGTGTAGATTAATGAGGATTTTTTTTTTGAATGAATTTTAGAATAAGGCTGTAAAGTAACACAATGTGGAAAAGGTCAAGGGGTCTGAATACTTTCCGAATGCACTGTATAATGAATGTCCTAGATAATAATTCACCTGAGGGTAGGAAATGTCAAAGGCTGTATCTTCATATCACATGGTTCAATAATGATTAATTAAATATGACAACACTGAATAAATGATGGTTCAAAAGCCAGGCCTCGGCCTGATTATTTAAAAGTTCATCCTTCCTAGGTAGGGAGGATTAGAGATGACTGGACTAGTGAACACAATGTGGTACAGCCCTTGTGTCCACTTGTCCAATCTTGTCTACTCACTCAATGATTACGTAAAGGAAGGGAGAGGGGAAGGATGTACTTTTAAGGAATTCAAATAGGGCCCCAGTCTTAGAAGCTACACTTAAAAACTGTGAAATAGCTCTCTCTGTTGGTTGGACTGAAGACATGCTTGGAGCCAGTAAATTAATCCTCAACATATTTTGGTGTGTCTCTATTGTTCTGCAGTAAAGTGGAACCTGAACGATGAGAGCATGCACTTCAAGCTGAACATTATGGAGAATGTCGCCACAGCACTCGTCTTCATCATTGTTGTAGTCAATGTCTTCATCACAGCATTTGGCGTCCAGAAGCCCAATCTAAACTCCTAACTGCCCTCACTCCTTACCCATGGTCATCAGCTAGTACACAGGTAAAGGTATTATACTAGTGTTATATGCACAATACGCACACACCATGCCAATGTATACTTTTCTTTGGTAGTGTTTGGTAATCATACATGTATGAGAGTTGTATGTCAAATTGTCAGGTTACATGAGCTTTATAAATACACCACATGACCAAAGGTTTGTGGACACCTGCTCGTCAATCATCTATTCCAAAATCATGGGCATTAATATGGAGTTGGTCCCCCCTTTGCTGCTATAACAGCCTCCACTCTTCTGGGAAGGCAGTCCACTAGATGTTGGAACATTGCTGCGGGGACTTGCTTCCATTCAGCCACAAGAGCATTCGTGAGGTCGGGCACTGATGTTGGGCAATTTGGCCTGGCTTGCAGTTGGTGTTCCAATTCATCCCAAAGGTGTTCAATGGGGTTGAGGTCAGGGCTCTGTGCAGGCCAGTTAAGTTCTTCCACACAGATCTCAACAAACCATTTCTGTATGGACCTTGCTTTGTGCACTGGGGCATTGTCATGCTGAAACAGGAAAGGGGCTTCCTCAAACTGTTGCCACAAAGTTGGAAGCACAGAATTGTCTAGAATGTCATTTTATGCTGTAGCATTAAGATTTCCCCTCATTGGAACTAAGAGGCCTAGCCCGAACCATGAAAAACAGCCCCAGACCATTATTCCTCCTCCACCAAACTTTACTGTTGGCACTATGCATTGGGGCAGGTAGCGTTCTCCTGTTATGCGCCAAACCCAGACTCGTCCGTCGGACTGCCAGATGGGCATTCATCACTCCAGAGAACGCGTTTCCACTGCTCCAGAGTCCAATGGCGGCGAGCTTTACACCACTCCAGCCGATGCTTGGCATTGCGCATGGTGATCTTAGGCTTGTGTGCGGCTGCTCGGCCATGGAAACCCATTTCATGAAGCTCCTGACGAGCAGTTATTGTGCTGACGTTGCTACCAGAGGCAGTTTGGAACTCGGTAGTGAGTGTTGCAACCGAGGACAGACGATTTTTACCCTCTACGCGTAAGTGGCCTACCACTTCGAGGCTGAGCCGTAGTTGCTCCTAGACGTTTCCACTTCACAATAACAACACTTACAGTTGACCGGGGCAGCTGTAGCAGGGCAGAAATTTCACGAACTGACTTGTTGGAAAGGTGGCATCGTACGAAGGTGCCACGTCACTGAGCTCTTCAGTAAGGCCATTCTATTGCCAATGTTTGTCTATGGAGATTGCATGACTGTGTGCTCGACATTATACACCTGTCAGCAACGGGTGTGGCTGAAATAGCTGAATGCACTAATTTGAAGGGGTGTCCACATACTTTTGTATATATAGTGTATATGTAGATAGGCCTACTGTTAGAATACACATACAGCGGCTTGCGAAAGTATTCAACCCCCCTTGGCATTTTTCCTATTTTGTTGCCTTACAACCAGGAATTAAAAATGTTTTGGGGGGGGGTTTGTATCATTTGATTTACACAACATGCCTACCATTTTGAAGATGCAAAATATTTTTTATTGTGAAACAAACAAGAAATAAGCTTGTGCATGCATAACTATTCACACCATCTCTGCAGTAGGCAGAGATGGTGAAACAAGGAACTTTACTGATGGTCCCGAAGCCAGGATACAAAATAACGGACTTTACACTAAAAAGAAAGGCGGAGCAAATAAGACTCCAAAAAACAGGCAGACAGCCACAAATACGGAATACTAACTATGACTGAAATAATAAATAAACAGGGAGAACACTTCTCACGTACCTGTCCATACGTCCCGCGATCAGACACTGATTAGTACTGCTTGGCATAGTGAAACTAGCAGAGAAAACTGAGCAAGGGAACACAGGGAATTGAGGGCATAAATACACAGGTGAATCAGATAGACACAGGTGACACCAATAGGAAGATGATTAGTCCCGACTGTGAGTGAGGAGGTGCCTAAGGTTGTCGGAGGATGCTACCAGTGGGTCGCTCCGGAACTGCGACCCCCTCCTGTAACAGTCTCCCACATGCCTTTTGGCGAACACCAAACGTGTTTGCTTATTTTTTTCTTTAAGCAATGGCTTTTTTCTGGCCACTCTTCCGTAAAGCCCAGCTCTGTGGAGTGTGTATGGCTTAAAGTGGTCTTATGGACAGATACTCCAATATCCGCTGTGGAGCTTTGCAGCTCCTTCAGGGTTATCTTTGGTCTCTTTGTTGCCTCTCTGATGAAAGTCCTCCTTGCCTGGTCTGTGAGTTTTGGTGGGCGGCCCTCTCTTGGCAGGTTTGTTGTGGTGCCATATTCTTTCAATTTTTTAATAATGGATTTAATGGTGCTCCATGGGATGTTCAAAGTTTCGGATATTTTTTTATAACCCAACTCTGATCTGTACTTCTCCACAACTTTTGCCCTGACCTGTTTGGAGAGCTCCTTGGTCTTCATGGTGCCGCTTGCTTCGTGGTGCCCCTTGCTTAGTGGTGTTGCAGACTCTGGGGCCTTTCAGAACAGGTGTATATATACTGAGATCATGTGACACTTAGATTGCACACAGGTGGACTTTATTAAACTAATTATGTGACTTCTGAAGGTAATTGGTTACACCAGATCTTATTTAAGGGCTTCATAGCAAAGTGGGTGAATACTTATGCACGCACCACTTTTCCGTTATTTATTTTGTATAATTTTTTGAAACAAGTCATCTTTTTCATTTCACTTCACCAATTTGGGCTATTTTGTGTATGTCCATTACATTACATCCAAATAAAAATCAATTTAAATTACAGGTTGTAATGCAACAAAATAGGAAAAACATCAAGGGGGATGAATACTTTTGCAAGGCACTTTAGGTGAATCTTATAGTAACTGTTATATGGGAATACCATAGCTGCAAAGCTGTACTAACCCAATTACCGCTACTTTACAGGCCAGAGACGTTCAGAGATCCAGTCTTCCATAGGCCTCAAGCCATCAGGTTCTCTGTTACGTCAAAGACAATGGATAGATCAACTGTATAGGACTCACACTAGCCTTTCATATCCACGGCCAGTCAACATTTCAGAGGCCATTACAAACTCAGAGTTCACCATCTTTGGCTTTGGCTTTCTATGTTCATTTCTCAGGATCTCATTCTCAGTTGCATTATCAAGCTTAGAGTTTGTCGACTCTGTCTTCCCCTGGTCATTTACCCTACTTCATGTTGTTACGTCACACACTTCATCAGTTGCTATTACTAATTGTTCAAATGACCAATGGCGTTAATTTATTGCCTTTTCAAATATGATCTACAGGGTTATTTTATACATATCTCAGAGCTGCTGTCGTGGTGACTGTACTTGAGTTGTACAGACCCAGCTGCTGTGTGTGTGTGTGTGTGTGTGTGTGTGTGTGTGTGTGTGTGTGTGCGCGCGCTCAAGTCTCTTTGGTCTGCTTTCAGCTCTGTACAAAAACACTTATTTTATATTTTTACCTCCCAAGCTAAAGCCCAAAGCACAGCTGTCTTAACTGCTATCGTTAATGCAGTAGAGGTTCGCAGATGTTTTTGGACTTCAGCTTATCTGGGTGTGTGTTGTAAATGCAGTGGTGAAAAGTACTTAAGTAAAATTACTTTAAAGTACTACTTAACCTCTTAAGGATCTGACCCTTTTTTTTCTCAATTTTCACCTAAAATTACATACCCAAATCTAACTGCCTATAGCTCAGGACCTGAAGCATGGATATGCATATTCTTGATACCATTTGAAAGGAAACACTTTGAAGTTTGTGGAAATGTTAAATTAATGTAGGAGAATATAACACATTAGATCTGGTAAAAGATAATACATACAAAAAAACATGTGTTTTCTATTATTATTTTTGTTCCATCATCTTTGAAATGCAACACAATATAATATTGCAGTGTGTGTGCAAAGTTTCAGATTGATCCAGTGAATATTTTGTATCAAGTCTGCCCAAATGTGCCGAATTGGTCAATTGATACATTTTCAACTACATAACTATAGAGAACATACAAAAAAGATATGGTAATACAAAATGTAAGTTTACACAGGAATGTCATACATGATGGATCATTAGCTTATACACTAACTTTCACACGTCTAGATGGCCGGTCAGGGTGGGTGTGTAGACAGAGACAGCAGGGGTTCAAACTGTAGAACCCAGTTACCACATTTGAATATAAAAATGGATGCTACAAAAAACTATGCTACATTTTATCTCTGGGACCCTTAGGATGACAAATCAGAGCAAGATTACTGAATGTAAGTACATTATTTACCTTCAGAGGTGAATGTATCAAACCAGTTTCCGTGATAAGTTTTGTTGTTGTTGTGCACTCTCCTGAAACAATAGCATGCAATTTTTTCAATGTAATAGCTACTGTAAATTGGACAGTGCAGTTAGATTAACAAAAATGTAAGCTTTCTGCCCATATAAGACATGTCTATGTCCTGGAAAGTTTGCTGTTACTTACAACAGTCATGCTAATCGCATTAGCGCACGTTAGCTCAACCGTCCCGTAAACGGGACACCGATCCCGTAGAGGTTAAGTAGTTTTTTTGGGTATCTGTACTTTACTATTTATATTGTTGACAACTTTTACTTCACTACATTCCTAATGAAAATAATGTACTTTTTACTCCATACAATTTCCCTGACATCCAAAATTACCCGTTACATTTTGAATGCTTAGCAGGACAGAAAAGGATCCAATTCACATCATCCCTACTGCCTCTGATCTGGCGGACTCACTAAACACAAATGCTTCATTTGTAAATTATGTCTGAGTGTTGGAGTGTGCCCCTGGCTATCCGTAAATTTAAAAAACAAGTTGTGCCTTCTGGTTTTCTTAATAAGGAATTTTAAATTATTCATACTTTTACTTTTGATACTTAAATATATTTTAGCAATTACATTTACTTTTGATACTTAAGTATATTTAAAACCAAATACTTTAGACTTTCACTCAAGTAGTATTTTGCTGGGTGATGTTCACTTCTACTTCAGTCATTTTCTATTAAGTATCTTTACTTTTACTCAAGTATGACAATTGTGTACTTTTTCCACCACTGTTTAAATGCTTTGCCCACAGCCCCATGCTAAACATGTGTACATCATTGTACAGCAGAGAGGAGCGGATATAATCTGAGTCCTGTATGAGCCTGGGCCTACATATCGTATATTCAGGCAGAACTGCAGTGGTCAGCAGGTGTACAGTTTACAATCGATTAAGGTTGAAAAATTCCAGTAACTTTCCCAAAATAACCAGGTTTAAGTTACCAGAATTTTGCAACCCGACAGTCAACAAACCTCAACTTTTTATTACATTTACATTTACATTTTAGTCATTTAGCAGACGCTCTTATCCAGAGCGACTTACAGTTAGTGAATACATATTTTTTTTATACTGGCCCCCCGTGGGAATCGAACCCACAACCCTGGCGTTGCAAACGCCATGCTCTATCAACTGAGCTACATCCCTGCCGGCCATTCCCTCCCCTACCCTGGACGACGCTGGGCCAATTGTGCGCCGCCCATGAGTCTCCTGGTCGCGGCCGGCGGCGACAGAGCCTGGATTCGAACCAGGATCTCTAGTGGCACAGTTAGCACTGCGATGCAGTGCCTTAGACCACTGCGCCACTCAGGAGTACAGTTTTATCAGAGGGGACTGTGCATGCTGCCTTATATATGTAATCTCAGATCTATAACTGTATGTAGTTATAATTTAAATGTATATGTATATACACCACAGGAAGCTGCTGGCTGAAGGGAGGACGGCTCATAATAATGGCCGGAAAAGAGCGAATGGAATGGCATACCATTCCACTTATTCTGCTCCAGCCATTACCACGAGCCCGTCCTCCCCAATTAAGGAAGGTGCCACCAACCTCCTGTCATATACTGTACACTGAGTGTACAAAACATTAAAGGACACCTTCCTAATATTGAGTTGCGCCCCCCCCCCCCCCCCCCCCCCCCCCCCCCCCCCCCCCCCCTTGCCCTCAGAACAGCCTCAAATCGTCGGGAAGTTGGCTGGATGTCCTTTGGGTGGTGGACCATTCTTGATATACACGGGAAACTGTTGAGTGTGAAAAACTCAGCAGCATTGCAGTTCTTGACACAAACACCTGGCACCTACTACCATACCTGTTCAAAGGCACTTCAATCATTTGTCTTGTCCATTCACCCTCTGAATGATACACATACATGTCTCAATGATTAAAAATCATTCTTTAACCTGTCTCCTCACCTTCACTGATTGAAGTAAATTGAAGTGACATCAATAAGGGATCATAGCTTTCACCTGGTCAGTCTATGTCATGGAAAGAGCAGGTGTTCATAATGTTTTGTACACTTAGTGTATATATTTGTGTTGGACGTATTTATGTCATGCCTCGTTTAGACCCTACGCCTTGACAGTATAATCGTTTGTTTAGATTCTCTTAGGCCTTTTCTATTTTTGTAAATTAAGGACCAAATCATTTAACCCCACTTTTAATGTACTTTGTTGTTTTATGCACTGTATGCAATAGAACACTTTACTATTCTGAAATGAAGTTAGTAAATAAAATGCAACAATTTGTTCAGATATAGTTTTTTTTATTGTACATGCATGGAAAGGCTTGAAAGAAAATCATAATGGTGGCACTTGAGAGACTAAGGCAATCTGTGGGGCAAATCCTAACTTCCACTTTTTTACATAAAAAAAAGAGTAGATAGAGCTGTGACACAACAGTAATATGTCTACACATTGATTATATCTGGTAGGTTACATGATGTCCCCTACTATAAAACAGTATAACCGTTATAATCTACTTCCCCCATTAACAATATTTCCCTTCACAAACAAAACATAGATTAAGGCAAGTAAATGAACAAATGCTTCATGCATGTGTAAGAGAAAACATAAGACACGTGTTGGTTAGAGAAAGCTTTGGAAATGCTTAACATTTGAGAAAAGTGAGAGAAAAATAGATTCTGAGGTGAAACAACACGGTTGAGACCTGAAATGTGTTTGTTTGCATTGGCTTTTTAGTGGGCATAACCTAAAAAAAGTACACTTTCAAAAACAGTGACTAAGTACTATTTTCACTCAAAATAAAGATTTAAAGATGGAATCCACAGTAGGGGAAACAGCACCACTGTCCGCCACACCGCCATTGTTATTGTTTTGTTGACGAAGCGGAGTTGAGGAGCCTCACACAAAAAAAATGCTGAACATATTCTGCTGTTCTATCGCGCGTGAAATGATATCAGAGGGGGAAAAAACTGTGTTTGTTGTTTGCAGTAACTTCGTTGTTGTTGTAATATCGCAAACGGACGTAGCAGTTTCACCATTAAGGATTCCAGCTTTAAACATCAGGAGATAAGTCAACCACTATAACGTGATAGTTCTAGTGAACATATTGCAATGTCTCTGATATAGCTAGGTCACACATTCATTAAACCTTGCCTAGGTATACAACCATAGTGGACCTGGATTCATCTAATGTAAAGGCATTATGTGGTAGACATTTAACCCAAGACTTCACACTGGATGCACAACATGTTATAACATTGTTATTACATTGTTTCGCTTATAGACTCTCCCTGACAACAGAGACGTTATCACAAAACAAATTGCAATAAATGTAGTGCTTGGTTGTTTTTTTCTTCAATAAGCTAATTAAACATCTCATCTTATAAATACCCCAAATAAAATTGATGTTTTCTAATGTCAATCTCCTGAGTATACTGTAAGCAGTACAACACACTCTGTGGAAAAGGTTCAGTATTTAAAGTGAGCCTGGTCTCTGGGTATTCTGTACAAGCCCCTACATGTCTACTGTGTCCACACCACACAAATGAAGCTGAATGCAGACAGGATCTCTGATGCTATTCAGTAACAGAGGCTTTAGTTTAGTGTAATAATAGTATTTTTCACCAGAGAAGAGGCATGTCTATTATTATTATTAACCATTATTAGGACAATGAAAGTCCATAAAAACCAGCGCTGTATGAAAAATTGTAAGAGAAAGTCAGATCCCTAAACCCAAAAGATATCTATCTATCTATCTATCTATCTATCTATCTATCTATCTATCTATCTATCTATCTATCTATCTATCTATATATATATATATATATATATATATATATATATATATATATATGTATAGTATTTACAGAGTTGTAAAAAAAAATAATGACTTAAGGGCTTTTCACACTACTGAGACGAATCGAATAGAGCCCAACCAAGCTGTACTAAACTGGCCTGGTTACGCATCAACCGTAGTTGCTGTAACTCGCACAGTTTGGTTCAGGTTGGCACGGTAGTGTGAAAAGGGTGTAGTGTAGTGTATTGTGTAGATGTCCGGAAGCACCTTTGGAGTGTGTGTTCTGATGTGCTGGTGGTGTTGGAGACACACCCACTACTTCCTGATGGGGTCTTCAGTGTACCATATGAGAACCTCTCGGGCTCGTCGGCCCAATCCAAGAGCAGCCATGCCAAGAGCCCTGCTGCCCCCTGTTACTTTGGACTCTGCAGGACAACACATGGGCGTTTCAACTTTGTTAGATTCCCCAACAAATAATCATGATAGCACTGATAACTTCAACCTAATGAAAAGTGAATAGGTGTAAATGATCCTGCTTGTGCGTTCTCTACACAAGCCCCACAACAATGAAACAGCTTGCCCTGTCAGACACTAGAGTTTCTTAAATCACTTTTCTTTTCTTTTTTAGCTTTTAAATCAGAGATTTTATTGTTTTAGACATCCTTTGTGTTTTATGTTATTTTACTCATTCCTTTCACTGCTTCTTCCTTCTTTGTTTCACTGTAAAGTGTGATGCGATTGCACTTTAAATCAAGTTTGATTTGATGTGTCATAACATGAAGATGCAATGTTATGCTTGATTTTTTTCTTTTTTTTTAGGTCTACTGGAGTACAGACGAGCTGTAAAAAATGTATGATTTCTGGTGTTCCTACTGGTCTGTTTTCTGTGGGAAAGAAAATTTGAGGGGGGAAAAATGGTACTCACCGCCATAGTAATGCAGTAGAGCCACCCCAACTGCAACACTGAAACAACTCAGGAAGAACATATGACCTGGAGAGAGAAGAGAGAGCAGAAGACAGTATGTGAGAAAGAGAGGTTTGTACCGTAAAGGGCATATGTGTTTACAGTACATGTGTTTGTATGTGTGACAGAGTGTGCACTTTCTGTGTGTACAGCTTACCTCTGTCGTTTAGCACATATCTCTGCTGAGTGGGTGAGGCTGCAATCGTGAACGGGTCTATAGAATCTGGGAAAGGGATTGCAAAATGTCAGCGATATTGTCAACCTCACTCAATGAGGTATTTTGATGTGATTAATAATGAGAGCAAATCTCAGATCTCCAGTGACTGACTGACAGTCGGAGACTAACCTCTGAGGCGAAGACGCGTGGGTAGGCTGAAGTACACCTCTTCCACATGCAGGTGAAGCGCCCGGTAGAACTCCCGGCAGGCCTCTTCACCTTTCCCCTGCAGGTGAGCCAGGAGCTCGGCCAGTCGGACGCAGGTGGGCACATCAAGATCCCTAAACTGGACCATCATGTCATTTTCAGAATTCCAGGAATTCAGAAACACATTTCCTGTGCACGCTAGCCCATTACTCAATTTTAACATTGTGTTACAGTCTGTCTAGCGCTGGTCTGTTCAATAGAGTCTGACAATGAAACAAGTAGTCATTCTCTACATTTCTGTGGGACAGGACTTACTACCAGTGGAAGTTACCACTACCCTGGGACAAAATTATTTTACTTGGGAGCAAAACTCACTTTGGTGGCCTCCTTGTCTGTGAGGATCTGTGGGTAGATCCTGTTGAGCTGCAGGATGAGCTTATCCACTAGTTCTGTGTCCAGGCGATGGTCTGCCCGGAGGAACCGACTGTCCTCCAGCAGCTGGTCATGGAAGCTGTCTGACAGTCACATGGGAATGAATCACGAAATGAAAATTATAATAATAAAATGGGAAAACTTGAGGATCACACACAGTTCATATTAGGGCCAGGATAAGGAATGATTGACTCGCTAATAATGAGGATATGGGACAGTAGAAACAAACTAGGACAGTGAAATCTCAAAATATGCTCAAGAGTCAAAGTTTGAAGAGGAATTTACAACAGAATTTAAATCTAATTTAATTTGTCAGAATTTGAACTTTTTGACAGAATAGGTAGGCTATGACAGGCCGACATTGCTTTGCTATTTTAGGACAAGCCATGTCCAGACAAGTACACGTAGTGACTCTAGGGTGAAACGTAAATGCCCTATGCTTCGCTGGCTGCTCACTGGCACATGATTTTCTTCGGTAGCCTATACTTGCCTCTTCAGAAAATGTGTTGAATTCAGCTCAGTCTGTGTGTACAGTATCTCACCAAAACCTCTATAGCCGTCAGTGTCATTGGTTTATATGGATGTGTTAGAATGTGGAAACGGGTAGGGTACAGCAACTTGTGATATCATGTTACATTAGGTCAAAGGCAGGCGCGAGGTGTAGCCTACATCGGAAACAATGTTGGTAAAAATAGACGTAGCTGCCGGGAACACTACACTTTGCAAAAGGTTAGGCTACCAAGTGTTAGCACGATAGCAAACATTAGAAGTTGGAAGTGCCATGCCATTGCCGTTCAAAGAAGCTGTCCACTTGTTGACAACCATGCTCTCCCGCCCTACTTTATGTTCATGCGCAATATCATGTGGGTAAGTGTGCATTATTTTAAAAAAAACATATCCATGGCATGAAAACAGAAATTACAGTAGTACTATATTATAAGAAGTCGCCAACAAACCTCCCATTGTGGAGTCCCTTCTGTTCTTTGTTTGGACCCTCCCTCGAGATCATCAACCCGGTTACCACAGCCACAAAGTCATAATTATGGCTAAACCCGCCTATTTCTACAAATTATCTTCTTAAAATCTGATTTCTAACATAACCTTAACCCTAAACTTAACCACACTGCTAACATTATGTCCAAACCTAACCTTAAATGAGGGCGAATTTTTGTTTTCATACATTTTACGAGAGCCGACATAGCCTTTTTTGATTTTGTGGCTGTGGTAACTAGTGATAACACATCAACCCGACATCACTGCAGGGCGTGACTATAACTTTCCCCGGAAATGCCCGATACAATGTATCCATGACTAAATTTATCTTATTTTAGCCACAGGGATACATTGAATATAAAGTAGCCTAATTTTCGGTTATTTCAGTGAAAATTGAATTGAATTAACATCCATAATGAGGGCTATGTAAATGCTGTGAAAATGTGTTATCATTTGATCTCGGTTGATTTACAGTAAGGCTCAATTTCACACATTTTAGGATTATGCTATTATGGCTATATTTTTATTGACTAATTCCTAAATGAATACACAGACCATTTTAGAGGGACACATTGAATGACTGAAGCAGGAATAGGGTTAGATAGTGAAAATAATGTAGATCAATAAATACACACACACACACACACATTATTTGTTGTTGTTTTGGCTCTCTACTCCAGCACTTTGGATTTGAAAATATACAATGACTATGAGGTTAAAGTGCTTTAAAGTGCTTTAATTTAAGGGAATTTTCACCCATATCAGGTGAACCATTTAGAAATTACAGCACTTTCTGTACATAGTCCCCCCCTTTAAGGGGACCCAAAGTATTGGGACAAATTCACTTATGTGTGTATTAAAGTAGTAAAAAGTTAAGTATTTGGTCCCATATTCATAGCACACAATGACTACATCAAGCTTGCGACTCTGTTGGATGCATTTGCTGTTTGTTTTGGTTGTGTTTCAGATCATTTTGTGACCAATAGAAATGAATGGAAAATAATGTAGAGTAATTTTGGCGTCACTTTTATTGTAAATAAGAATAAAATATGTTTCTAAACACTTCTACATTAATGTGGATGATACCATGATTACGGATAATCCTGAATAAATTGTGAATAATGATGAGTGATAGTGTTGATATTGCATGTCAGAGCAAAAACCAAGCCATGAGGTCGAAGGAATTGTCCGTAGAGCTCCGAGACAGGATTGTGTCGAGGCACAGATCTGGGGAAGGGTACCAAAAATGTCTGCAGCATTGAAGGTCCCCAAGAACACAGTGGCCTCCATCACTCTGAGAAGGGCCTTGGTCAGGAAGGTGACCAAGAACCCGATGGTCACTCTGACAGAGCTCTAGAGTTCCTCGGTGGAGATGGGAGAACCTTCCAGAAGGACAACCATCTCTGCAGCACTCCACCAATCAGGCCTTTATGGTAGTGTGGCCAGACGGAAGCCACTCCTCAGTAAAAGGCACATGACAGCCCGCTTGGAGTTTGCCAAAAGGCACCTAAAGACTCTCAGACCATGAGAAACAAGATTATCTGGTCTGATGAAACCAAGATTGAACTCTTTGGCCTGAATGCCAAGCGTCACGTCTGGAGGAAACCTGGCACCATCCCTACGGTGAAGCATGGTGGTGGCAGAATCATGCTGTGGGGATGTTTTTCAGCGGCAGGGACTGGGAGACTAGTCAGGATCAAGGCAAAGATGAACGGAGCAAAGTACAGAGAGATCCTTGATGAAAACCTGCTCCAGAGCTCTCAGGACCTCAGACTAGGGCGAAGGTTCACCTTCCAACAGGACAACGACCCTAAGCATACATCCAAGACAATGCAGGAGTGGCTTCGGGACAAGTCTCTGAATGTCCTTGAGTGGCCCAGCCAGAGCCCGGACTTAAACCTGATCGAACATTGCTGGAGAGACCTGAAAATAGCTGTGCAGCAACGCTCCCCATCCAACCTGACAGAGCTTGAGAGGATCTGCAGAGAAGAATGGGAGAAACTCCCCAGATACAGGAGTGCCAAGCTTGTAGCGTCATACCCAAGAAGACGCGAGGCTGTAATCGCTGCCAAAGGTGCTTCAACAAAGTACTGAGTAAAGGGTCTGAATACTTATGTAAATGTAATATTTCAGTTTTTTTTATTTTTAATAAATTAGCAAAAAAATCTACAAACCTGTTTTTGCTGTCATTATGGGGTATTGTGTGTAGATTGATGAGGGGGAAAAAAACAATTTTATAAATTTTAGAATAATACTTTCTGAATGCACTGTATATATACAGTGGGGAAAAAAAGTATTTAGTCAGCCACCAATTGTGCAAGTTCTCCCACTTAAAAAGATGAGAGAGGCCTGTAATTTTCATCATAGGTACACGTCAACTATGACAGACAAATTGAGAAAAAAAATTCCAGAAAATCCCATTGTAGGATTTTTAATGAATTCATTTGCAAATTATGGTGGAAAATAAGTATTTGGTCACCTACAAACAAGCAAGATTTCTGGCTCTCACAGACCTGTAACTTCTTCTTTAAGAGGCTCCTCTGTCCTCCACTCGTTACCTGTATTAATGGCACCTGTTTGAACTTGTTATCAGTATAAAAGACACCTGTCCACAACCTCAAACAGTCACACTCCAAACTCCACAATGGCCAAGACCAAAGAGCTGTCAAAGGACACCAAAAACAAAATTGTAGACCTGCACCAGGCTGGGAAGACTGAATCTGCAATAGGTAAGCAGCTTGGTTTGAAGAAATCAACTGTGGGAGCAATTATTAGGAAATGGAAGACATACAAGACCACTGATAATCTCCCTCGATCTGGGGCTCCACGCAAGATCTCACCCCGTGGGGTCAAAATGATCACAAGAACGGTGAGCAAAAATCCCAGAACCACACGGGGGGACCTAGTGAATGACCTGCAGAGAGCTGGGACCAAAGTAACAAAGCCTACCATCAGTAACACACTACGCCGCCAGGGACTCAAATCCTGCAGTGCGAGACGTGTCCCCCTGCTTAAGCCAGTACATGTCCAGGCCCGTCTGAAGTGCATTTGGATGATCCAGAAGAGGATTGGGAGAATGTCATATGGTCAGATGAAACCAAAATATAACTTTTTGGTAAAAACTCAACTCGTCATGTCTGGAGGACAAAGAATGCTGAGTTGCATCCAAAGAACACCATACCTACTGTGAAGCATGGGGTTGGAAACATCATGCTTTGGGGCTGTTTTTCTGCAAAGGGACCAGGACGACTGATCCGTGTAAAGGAAAGAATGAATGGGGCCATGCATCGTGAGATTTTGAGTGAAAACCTCCTTCATTCAGCAAGGGCATTGAAGATGAAACGTGGCTGGGTCTTTCAGCATGACAATGATCCCAAACACACCGCCCGGGCAACGAAGGAGTGGCTTCGTAAGAAGCATTTCAAGGTCCTGGAGTGGCCTAGCCAGTCTCCAGATCTCAACCCCATAGAAAATCTTTGGAGGGAGTTGAAAGTCTGTGTTGCCCAGCGACAGTCCCAAAACATCACTGCTCTAGAGGAGATCTGCATGGAGGAATGGGCCAAAATACCAGCAACAGTGTGTGAAAACCTTGTGAAGACTTACAGAAAACGTTTGACCTGTGTCATTGCCAACAAGGTATATAACAAAGTATTGAGAAACTTTGTTATTGACCAAATACTTATTTCCACCATCATATGCCAATAAATTCATAAAAATCCTACAATGTGATTTTCTGGATTTTTTTTCCTCATTTTGTCTGTCATAGTTGACGTGTACCTATGATGAAAATTACAGGCCTCTCTCATCTTTTTAAGTGGGAGAACTTGCACAATTGGTGGCTGACTAAATACTTTTTTTCCCCACTGTATATATATATATATATTTATATATCAAATATAACCCCAACACCAAATTAAGACTAAAGTTACGTTTATTTGGCATACCTTTAGGCAGAATAACAGTAACTATGATGCATGTACCTTGGCAGTGCAACATCATCATCATCATCATCATCATCACACAGGTAGGCTATTGGCTTCTATTGAGCACACATCTCACCTACCATCTCCACCCAAAGGTCTCTTGAAGATGACATGAAAAAAGGCATCGATATGGTATCAATATGCCATCAATCATAATCCACATTATCGACAACACCAACATACATGACATTGTTTAAAATAAATACAAACAAGTGAAGTTATTTAGTACAAAGATATACAACTCAAATAGGATCAAGATTGTGAGTAAGAAGTAGTAGTAAAATGTAACAATAGCATCAGCAGAGACAAACAGACAGAGAATGTTTATACTGTGTTTCTATACGGATACTGCATTCAAATTGCACTTGTAATAAAAGAGAGTCTCAAATGTAACTTGTATTGCGTCAACAAACCTGTTAATTAAATGGCACTGCAGATGTGTTGATGACTTAACTTCTGTTTGCTGAAATCACAACAACGCTTTTAGAGGATGTAAAAAGGGTTCATAAAATTGCATTAAAACAGACAATACATAAACTCTCCACCATAGTCGCCTGACTTTTGCCATACAAAGGTAGAGTATAAATAAGTATTTGCATTAGTAATCTCTCCCTCAGCCATCATCGAAAACGCTCTGAACCACTATTAACTAGGCAGCCAAAGTTAACAGTTGTGGTATCATTACTTTTAAAATAAGGTTTACGTATATATCAATATAATCATAATAATAGCCCCTGAATTTGCAATTCTGCATGCTTGTAGGATCACAGAATCACTTCACAGAATTCACCACAGTTCCTATTATTTTCTTTAATCTGTTATTGACTAGGGTTACAGTGAGGGAAAAAAGTATTTGATCCCCTGCTGATTTTGTACGTTTGCCCACTGACAAAGACATGATCAGTCTATAATTTTAATGGTAGGTTTATTTGAAAAGTGAGAGACAAAAAAATCCAGAAAAACGCATGTAAAAAATGTTATAAATTGATTTGCATTTTAATGAGGGAAATAAGTATTTGACCCCTCTGCAAAACATGACCTTTGCTCCGTTCATCTTGGTGGCAAAACCCTTGTTGGCAATCACAGAGGTCAGACGTTTCTTGTAGTTGGCCATCAGGTTTGCACACATCTCAGGAGGGATTTTGTCCCACTCCTCTTTGCAGATCTTCTCCAAGTCATTAAGGTTTCGAGGCTGACGTTTGGCAACTCGAACCTTCAGCTCCCTCCACAGATTTTCTATGGGATTAAGGTCTGGGGACTGGCTAGGCCACTCCAGGACCTTAATGTGCTTCTTCTTGAGCCACTCCTTTGTTGCCTTGGCCGTGTGTTTTGGGTCATTGTCATGCTGGAATACCCATCCACGACCCATTTTCAATGCCCTGGCTGAGGGAAGGAGGTTCTCACCCAAGATTTGACGGTACATGGCCCTGTCCATCATCCCTTTGATGCAGTGAAGTTGTCCTGTCCCCTTAGCAGAAAAACACCCCCAAAGCATAATGTTTCCACCTTCATGTTTGACGGCGGGGATGATGTTCTTGGGGTCATAGGCAGCATTCCTCCTCCTCCAAAGACGGCGAGTTGAGTTGATGCCAAAGACCTCGATTTTGGTCTCATCTGACCACAACACTTTCACCCAGTTCTCCTCTGAATCATTCAGATGTTCATTGGCAAACTTTAGATGGCCCTGTATATGTGCTTTCTTGAGCAGGGGGACCTTACGGGCACTGCAGGATTTCAGTCCTTCACGGCGTAGTGTGTTACCAATTGTTTTCTTGGTGACTATGGTCCCAGCTCCCTTCGAGATCATTGACAAGATCCTCCCATGTAGTTCTGGGCTGATTCCTCACCGTTCTCATGATCATTGCAACTCCACGAGGTGAGATCTTGCATGGAGCCCCAGGCCGAGGGAGATTGACAGTTCTTTTGTGTTTCTTCCATTTGCGAATAATCACACCAACTGTTGTCACCTTCTCACCAAGCTGCTTGGCGATGGTCTTGTAGCCCATTCCAGCCTTGTGTAGGTCTACAATCTTGTCCCTGACATCCTTGGAGAGCTCTTTGGTCTTGGCCATGGTGGAGAGTTTGGAATCTGATTGATTGATTTCTTCTGTGGACAGGTGTCTTTTATACAGGTAACAAGCTGAGTTTAGGAGCACTCCCTTTAAGAGTGTGCTCCTAATCTCAGCTTGTTACCTGTATAAAAGACACATGGGAGCCAGAAATCTTCCTGATTGAGAGGGGGTCAAATACTTATTTCCCTCATTAAAATGCAAATCAATTTATAACATTTTTTACATGCGTTTTTCTGGATTTTGTTGTTGTTATTCTGTCTCTCACTGTTCAAATAAACCTCCCATTAAAATGATAGACTGATAATTTCTTTGTCAGTGGGCAAACGTACAAAATCAGCAGGGGATCAAATACTTTTTTCCCTCACTGTATAACCTCTCACAACAATTCCTTCTCAAAGACATAGAAAACATTCAAATCTAAACCTAGCTTCTCTTTTGTGGACAGAACAAACTACTAGTCAAAACGAAATCTAGCTTCTCTTTTGTGGACAGAAAGGCACTACTAGTCTAAACTAAATCAAGCTTCTCTTTTGTGGACAGAACAAACTACTGGTCTATACTAAGGCCAGAAGGTACGCACTGGGCACACACTGGTTGAATGTCCTGCTGGAACATCCTGCTCTCTCTGGTAAACTTTTTTTTAAACACATTATCAAAATGTTTGAACCAAGAGAGAAAATACTAATTCCAATTTAAGATGTTCATCTATGTGCTTACAGAGAACGTCTGTTAGCTTGTGAGTCCCACTGAATATTGACCCCAGAGAAAACTGGAGCAAGTTAGTTCCTTTGACTTTGTTGCCTCTGATCTTTCCCTACATATAAATATAAATCAACACAGGTTTACTCTCCATGGAAATTCTGTTATGAATCTGCCAGTTATATAATGACAAAAGCAAAAATATTAAAATGACTAATTAATGCTCCAATGATCAAACATGTAACAAAAAGCTTATGAACGCCTCACACATTCACTGAGGTGTGAATTACAACAAGCAAAAAAAGAGAAATAAAAAATACATTAAAAGTGCGCAGTCATCGGGGGAAACAGACAGAGTAATAACAGTATAGTGGTGGACAATGTGGGATGAGTGACTAAATCACAATGGGGGTCATACCCACATAAATAGAGCTAGATATCTCTATGATCATACCCACAGAAATAGACCTAGATATCTCTATGATCATACCCACATAAATAGAGCTAGATATCTCTATGATCATACCCACAGAAATAGACCTAGATATCTCTATGGTCATACCCACAGAAATAGACCTAGATATCTATGGTCGTCATACCCATGAGTCTTTGTTGTTTCCTGCAGCCACACCAAGAGACCAAACCCCTGGGGATTTCACGTGTCTGTAAAGGTCAAGGGTGTGTGTGTGTGTGTGTGTGTGTGTGCGCACAGAAACAAAGTCCTCACACTACAGCAGTGTATGTCTCTGACATGGGTCTCAGGCCACGAGGGGACACTGAAGTAATCATCGGCAAGGTGACTGTCAACCTTTGAAGGACACTGGGCTTGATTAAATTACTGTAAAATGGAGAGATAAGAAAATTACATTAAAATCTGAGGGTTTGATAATCATCTGGTCAGTCTTCATTTGATAAATCTCGTTTGATAAAACCGTGACCTATGTTAGTGGCAGTGGGGAGTCAATGGGGTTAGGAGGCGGGTGCACAGTGCAGTCCTGCTGGCTGCAGGAAGCAGAGGACTCACAGGTATAGTATTCACATGCAGGTTAGAGCAGGGTTTCCCAAACTCGAGTTTGGGAAACCCTGGGTTAGAGGATTGATAATGATTTAGGAGATGATGTTAGTTAAACCAGCATAGAGTTTTCTGATGACAGGTTAGAGCAGATGATGAGGATTGGGTGATAGGGTTATAAGAGAACAGCAGGAGGTATATTATACAGTCTTCAGTATATAGAGAATATAGTCCTCAGTAGAGTAGAGTATATAGTCCTCATTAGAGTATATAGTCCTCAGTAGAGTATACAGTCCTCAGTAGAGTATATAGAGTATATAGTCCTCAGTAAAGTAGAGTATATAGTCCTCATTAGAGTAGAGTATATAGTCCTCAGTAGAGTATATAGTCCTCAGTAGAGTAGAGTATATAGTCCTCAGTTACGTTATCCTGAAAACCCTCACTAAACATTTCACAATCAACCTACGCTGATAACCATTTCTCGGTTTAATTTATACAAAACCGGACCCATGTTTAAATGCTTTTTCCTAACTTTAACTAAGCCTAATGAGCAATGCCCTCGTATTTCTCTTCAGAACAAATCTTGTTCGACAATCTCCATTACATAAAGTGCCATGAAAACAAACCACATCACACATTATCACTTTATGATATAATAATAATAATAATAATAAATAATAATATCAAAGCAAAACACTAAAGTGCCTAAACTCACAATCCATTTTTATTTAGCAGCTACAGTACATGTAAGTGCACTGCTTTAGTTATCCCTGAATGGTGTTGGACCAGACAGAAGCAGCAGGGTAGAAGCCTCTGGCAGTGAAAGGGCCATAAGTCTGTCTGCCTGTCTGCAGCCGGCGCTGCCGCCTGTCTGACTGACGGTTATACTCTCTTACACTTTACTCAAACCCTCTCGTCATAAGAGCTACATAACACTGTCATAATCATGACATAACATAGTCATACAGATTATGCTATGTACACTCCTGCTCTAAAGTAATGTAATAATACATACATGCTACACTGTTAGCCACCATTGTCATGGTTACAGCAACAGCCTTGACAGAACCATGCGGTGAAGCGCTGCAGTGCAAAGCGTGATGAGAGGTTAGAAGTTATGATGGAGGTTATAGAGTTCAAAGGTCACAGTAGATCTTGTACTCCTCATTGCAGAGGACCACAGGGCCTCCCAGGATGCCGTGGGGCTCGGGGAGGACCCTGCAGGAGCATCTCTGACTTACGTGATGATTGGCCGAGGCCCCTTTGCCCCGCGCCGACGAGGAGGACTTGCTCCGACTGCCCGTCACTACTCTTGTAACCCCGCCACGGCGCGCCTGCTCATGATCGAACTCCAGGTCCTCCAGACGTTGGGTCAAGGCCAGCTTCTGCTGGATGGCCATGCGGAGCAGGGAGTTCAGGGTCTTCTTCTCGTCCTCCGCCGCAACCAGCTGTCTCTGCATCTCATCCAGCTGAGTTACGTACTCATCACACCTGAGAGACGGAGAGAGAGGGGGGAGAGAGAGGGGGAAGGGAAGAGACAGGGAGGGGGGACAGAGGGAGAGAGAGAGAGAGAGGGGGAAGATGGAGAGAGGGGGGAGAGAGAGAAAGGAGGGAGAAAGAAAGAGATAAAAGAGAGAGTAGCATTATGAGTCCAACATTGAGTGTGGTTAGATGCACACAATAATGTGATTATTGTGGATAGTCAGATTAATATAATAGTTAGATTAAACCGTTTACATGCTTTGCAAGAAAAAATGATTTTTCCTATTAATCCTGTTTACATGAACACATCTGAAATCAGGCTACCTGATGGCACACTGATAAACACAGAAAATCGGCAATTAAAATAAACGTTCTACCACAGCTAACATTATTTTGGGAATCATATTTGATTCCGAGTTCGGACATATAAAGTTTGTATGTGAAAACTACTTCTAAGTCGCATACATTCAGTTGTTTCGAACACACTTCACTTGCGCTAAAGAGGGAGGCTTGCTCGGCTGGTGCTAGCACATGCGCAGATCAACTACACCGCTTGAACGATTAAGGCATTCACATGTCCTAATAATTCGAAAGATTGCTCAGAAAACCAAGTATTTTAATCGACCTTATGCCGATTAAGATAAGCAGAGTAAGGTGTTTACATGACTATTGCATAATCTGCCTACTGCCATAATCAGTTTAATATAAAATTATTAGTGTGCATGTAAACATACTCAATAACACAAAATATCAATGTATAACTTTCTCCACCAGATGGCACAAATCTTATTTTCCAGATGCTGCCAGTCATGTTTTCTCCATTTAGACTCACAGAGCTGCATTTTCCAGATGCTGTCAGGAGGAGCCTGCCAGCGGACTCTGAATCACTTCAGTATTACATCAGAAAACTCCCACAATGCCCTGTTTCTCCTACACACACATATGCAGCCTCTGGCAGAAAAACAGCTCCTCCACAACCTAAAAGCTCACTGGTGCGGCTCTCACATCTAGCTAAAAGGACCAATCTGTTCTGTTCTTATTCCCTTACGTTTTCTAAATAGTTCAAGAGGCAGGAAATTGATCATATGGAAAAACAGCCCACTATAATAGATATATAAAAATATAATATAAGGTTTAATTAGTGTTTTAATGATTTTAACCTTGGTATAACATGAACAATTCATATTAAAACGATTTCTATGTACTGAATTCCAATACACCTTTGTAGACCTACCCCTTGTTTGGATATAATGAGTATGGACAACATTTACCCTCTTAGAAAAATGGGTTCAAAAAGGGTTCTTCGGCTGTCCCCATAGGATAACTCTTTTGGGTTTCATGTGGAACCCTCTGTGTAAAGGGTTCTATATGGAACTCAAAAGGGTCCTTCCTACCTAGAACCAAAAAGGGTTATTTAAAGGATTCTCTTATGGGGACAGCTGAAGAACCCCTTTAGGTTCTAGATGGCACCTTTTTTTCTAAGAGTTAAGGTGCCAAAAGTGCCTAATTTCTTGGTGTATTAAGAGCAGACTGGTTAGGCCTACTGATAACTGCTCGACTAAGCCTTACCTTGTAGCGAACATGGCCCGTAGTGAGGAGAAGGTGGCAGCGTCTTCTTTCAGAGCCTTCAGCTCGTTGCGGAGTTTCAACATGGTATCCCTCACCATGGTCTTCTCGTTGTCGTATTTACTCTTCAGGTTGGCCAGCGCCACCTCAGCCGTCTACAGAATAGAGTAGAGTAGAGTAGAGTAGAGTAGAGTAGAGTAGAATAGAATAAATACTTTATTTTCAATTTTATTAGAATGGAGGGCTGGGGTCACAGGTCACAGGGTTATCTTGACCTTTTGCTAATATTAACTCTGTCTGAACTCCTACACAAAAAGTAAATACTCTCAACTACCGTGAACTTCATACAGCATCACCTTCACTTTTAAACAGTATCAACTGCTCATGCACACACCAACACACACCCACGGATGCACACACTCACACACTCCTGCTCACCTGTTTGTTGGCTTTGAGTACGGTCCTCAGGGTGGCGATCTGCTCCCTCTTGGTGCTGAGGAGGGACTTGAGTTTGAGGATCTCCCCCATGCAGGCCTCGCTGTCCTTATCAGCCACGGTGCCCAGCTCCATGGAGGCCATCCTCTGACGGGACAGCTCTGTGGTGCGGTCCACCGCCTGCTGCAGGTGACGGATCTGGTCCCTGATGATGGCCACCAGGTTATAGATGTTCATAGGCTCTGGACGGGACTCTGGGGCTGGGACTGGGGCTGGGACTGCTGGGTCACTGGCTTCAAGTTTACCGGGGTCAGTTTCAGGGACCAGCCCGTTGGAGAGTAGTACATGGGACAGACGTCGCCCCTTCCCCTCCCGGCTGCCCCCACCCCCTACACTGGCCTTGCCCTCCTTGTAGTAGTCGAGCATGACCCGGTTGGGGGTTTCATTGTTGCACATGCACACGTGGTTATAGAGGTTGGCCAGCTCCTCACTGAACACCACCAGTTCGTCCTGCGCCACGTTCAGACTGCCCTGCGACTCGCCCGCCGCCTCGCTCACCCGCCGCAGCTCCTTCTCTAGGTGCTCGATCTCCTCACGCTCCACCCGGCTGCTCTTCTCCAGGGAAGCCAGCTTCTCGCTCAGCCCCGCCACATCGCTCTCCAGGCGGGCTCGCTCCTCCTCGTACTGGCTTCGGCACGACTGGTACTCTGCTTTAAGAGTCTTCAGCTCCTGTCTGAGCTCCCCGGCCTCGGACACAGCCACGGTGTACTTACACTGCAGGATCTCAGGCCCGTTGATGTCCAGCTCGTAGTAGTCCCCGTCGCCATCGTCACGGCTGTCACGCTCCTTCTCGCTGTCCAGGGCCGAGTGGCGCTCCTTGCTGGCCTGGAGTTTCCTCATGGCGCTGAGATTCTCGGTGAGGCGTCCTACCATCTCCTGCTGCTCAGACAGAGTCCCATGGGCCACCTCCAGCTGCTTCTGGGCCTCCTGCAGAGAGGAGAGGAGCGCTACCTTCTCCCGCTCAACCTGGAGAACACAGACATGGGACACAGTCAAACAACAGCACTGAGAAATATCTGTAACACTTTATGTTACAGTCCTATTTCAGCTTTGTGTTTATTAGTATTGATTGAGAAATGATTAGGCAATTACTGTGTATTTACCATTTTACTATACAATTTCTATATAAATACCAGATAAATAGCTGGCTCTAGAATGAAGTGTAACCCAAAATGCTATATGAATTTAGATTTTCACACTGTAGTGTGCGACACTGTCACTCAAGAATTTCACACTGTATTTATTCACCAGGAAGTCAACAGCACGTGTATAAGAGAAGTATCCTAATCAGTCCATGTAGCCCATTGATGTGTCTTTGACTAGGCCGCTAAGGTCAGTATAACTAATCAATGTCCCTAAATTGGATGACCACTGTGTTCCACAAAGCTTAATGGACTTTCCAACCATAAGACAAAGGACTGTTCACAGCTGGAGGGATGTAAGCCTATCTATTTTTCAGGCAACACACACAAAGCTTGATAAGCTCGATAATGCTAAGAATTACTTTATTTATTTACCGAGGAAGTTGACACCTTGACAGTTGACTGTGAATAAAGCAAACAGGCTAACCAGTTTTAAAGTCCTTGCCTGCTGCTACTATGTTGTCATCTGAAATGTGTCATCTGTAAACAGAGTTCTCCATACCTGCATGAGCTGCTGCTTGAGTTTTTGGATCTCTGAGATGTTGAGTTCACTCAGCAGGTCATCCACTAGGCTGGGGGCGGGCCGGACCATGGCTCTGTTATCATCGTTGCAGTCGGCAGTCATCTTAGCCAGGCCGTTCTCATAGCCACGGAACGAGTCATCATTGTTGGGTTCGTTGGTGGCAGCAGTGGGATCCTCGCTGAACTTGAGGCCGTCCAGGGAGATGTGCAGTGGGCTGTGGTGGTACGGTAACAGGTTGTCCCCGATGGTCATGTAGTGGGACAGTTCTTTACGCAGGGCGGCCTTCTGCTCGCGCTCAGTCTTAATGGTCTCCAGAGCCTCGGTCAGCTGGCGCTCAGCGATCTCCCGCAGGCGCATGGCCTCCTCCAACTGGCTGTGGAGGCACTGGGAGTCCTCCTCCAGACGACAGATCTCATGCTTCAGACCCTCAAACTCCACCTAAGAGAGAGTCCACAGCACATCAGAGGAATCACTAACTAAATAGGGAGAATCCCTTACACTCCTCATTACAAAAGCATTGTTTTGTCTCATCCCCTTCAGTTGGTTCTTGTATCAACGGCTTAATTCGTTGGCCCTGGCTTTCGAATATAGAGTCCTGTCACTTTTCCACCCAAAGTGTATTGGCCACTCTACAACCTTTACCTCTACCCATTACCCATAATAAGCACTCATCCTCCCCTCATCGCCATACCCAACAGTGCCCATTTCTTCTCCAGCCCCAGTGGACCATCCTCCCCCTCCCTCCCCCTTCCCCTCTCCTGCCCCAGTGGACCATCCTCCCCCTCCCTCCCCCTTCCCCTCTCCTGCCCCAGTGGACCATCCTCCCCCTCCCTCCCCCTTCCCCTCTCCTGCCCCAGTGGACCATCCTCCCCCTCCCTCCCCCTTCCCCTCTCCAGCCCCAGCCCTGGTCGTTCCCCCTCCTCTCACCTGGCTCTGTCGGAGCAGGGACACCTGTTTCTGCAGGGAGATGTTCTCGTCCTCCAGCTCACTGTAGTCCTGCAGCAGACGTGCCTCTCGCACCTTATACTCTCTGATGTCATCACGCAGTTGGGTGCGCTGCAGCTCCACCAGCTCAGAACTCTACACATCACAACAGAGGAAGACAAAATATCAGAGAGTAGGCTGCTACAATTTCAGGAAGTGTGCATATCGTCAAGCAAGTTTGTTCATGAGCAAGTTTGTCTTGAATGGAAATGGCACTTTCAACAGACGAGGAGCCGAGAGGGGGGAGAAAGTGGAAGAAAAGGACAAGAGAAGAAGTGAAATAGGAAAACGTCATGTCAGAGAGTGGAATACAAGGACGTGTGGATTTGATCCAGAATGCACCAAATGGTTGTACAGTAATGTCAAAGCAGCATCTTATGTGGAACTGTGTTGGGATGAGATCTTGGCAGCTTGGCAACTTTAATCAGGGAGGAACAAGATCCAGTTACCAACCCAGGCCATAGAGTGAGAGTGCCTACTAGTGGAGGACATCATTTGTGTCACTCACTGAGGACTATTACATCATCAGTGTGACTGGTGCCAGCTGACCAATCAACCCCCCTTACAGACTCCTTACCAGTTTAAACCTCTCCCAGTCCCACTATCCCATTAACTCTGACTGGCTCTCTCTCTGTCCCACTATCCCATTTGCTGACTCGCTCTCTCTCTGTCTCACTATCCCATTAACTCTGACTCTCTCTCTCTCTCTATCCCATTAACTCTGACTCGCTCTCTCTCTCACTATCCCATTAACTCTGACTCGCTCTCTCTCTCACTATCCCATTAGCTCTGACTCGCTCTCTCTCTGTCCCACTATCCCATTAGCGCTGACTCGCTCTCTCTGTCCCACTGTCCCTGTTCTACTTCATCATTACTGACTGAGAGGTTTGGTCCTCTTCGTCAGATTGGTGAGATACACGAGTCTTTGCACATTGAAGTTTGACCTCTCCACATTGACCATGTTTGTGTTTTGGGCAGGTCCTCCACCCTCCAGCTCACCTCTCTCATCTCCAAGGCAACAGAGGCCAGGCGCTCGTTCTCTGATTGGTTGCTGGTGAGGGCAGTCCTGGCCAACCGCAGCTCGTTTTGCAGCTCCAGGACCATCTGCTGGTAGTGGGCCTCCTTACTGGCTGACTCCAGCATCAGTGACTCCTCCCTGCTCTCCCCATCTGCAGCCACCTTCCTATGGGTGGAGTAGGCTTGGCCAAACGCCTGGGGAGAGGAGGGGAGACACATACATTAGTACCAGGACTGAACACCTTCCTATGTGGGGAGTAGGCCTGACTGAACGCCTGGGGAGAGGAGAAACATACACAGACATAGATTAGTACCAGGACTGAACAGTGATATGAGTACAACACTTGGAGAGAAGGGTGGACATGGACCAGAATTAGGGCAGGACTTGTGAGCATGAACAGTTCTGAGCATCATGACTGGTTGAGAGTCATAATACATTTTACATTTTTTACATTTTAGTCATTTAGCAGACGCTCTTATCCAGAGCGACTTACAGTTAGCGCATACATTATTTTATCGAACCCACAACCCTGGCGTTGCAAACGCCATGCTCTACCAACTGAGCTACATCCCCTGCCGGCCATTCCCTCCCCTACCCTGGACAACGCTGGGCCAATTGTGCGCCGCCCCATGGGTCTCCCGGTCGCGGCCGGCTACGACAGAGCCTGGATTCGAACCAGGATCTCTAGTGGCACAGCTAGCACTGCGATGCAGTGCCTTAGACCACTGCGCCACTCAGGAGACATAATACCATAATAGACAGTATAGTCATATACAGTTGAAGTCAGAAGTTTACATACACCTTAGCCAAATACATTTAAACTCAGTTTTTCACAATTCCTGACATTTAATCCTAGTAACAATTCCCTGTTTTAGGTCAGTTAGGATCACCACTTTATTTTAAGAATGTGAAATGTCAGAATAATAGTAGAGAGAATGATTTATTTCAGCTTTTATTTCTTTCATCACATTCCCAATGGGTCAGAAGTTGACATACACTCAATTAGTATTTGGCACCATTGCCTTTAAATTGTTTAACTTGGGTCAAACGTTTTGGGTAGCCTTCCACAAGCTTCCCACAATAAGTTGGGTGAATTTTGGCCCATTCCTCCTGACAGAGCTGGTGTAACTGAGTCAGATTTGTAGGCCTCCTTGCTCACACACGCTTTTTCAGATCTGCCCACAACTTTTCTATAGGATTGAGGTCAGGGCTTTGTGATGGCCACTCCAATACCTTGACTTTGTTGTCCTTAAGCCATTTTGCCACAACTTTGGAAGTATGCTTGATGGAGGAATTATGATTATGACTAAAATTGTTAACCCCAATACTGATGATGACTGTGTGAACTGTGTTAAGATTATCATTATAAACCCACTAACAGAGGGGGTGAGTTAGAAACTGCTGAGACTAAACATTCCAGGATGAAGGGGACAGAAACTGTTTAAAGGTGCCTTTGTGTGTCAAGGGGTATAAATGCTGTATGTATGTTTTTTGGCGGCAGAGCGCTCCATGATTAAAAATACAGATCATTCTTGCTGGTTAGGGACCTTTGTTTAATTCATGATTAAACCAGAGAATGTACACCCTCTGGGAATTATTCAGAGCATTAAGTTTGATTAATTAGAGATAGAAATTCTTGTGACAATGCTTGGGGTCATTGTCCATTTGGAAGACCCATTTGCGACCAAGCTTTAACTTCCTGACTGATGTCTTGAGATGTTGCTTCAATATATCCACATAATTTTCCTTCCTCATGATGCCATCTATTTTGTGAAGTGCACCAGCTCCTCCTGCAGCAAAGCACCCCCACAGCATGATGCTGCCACCCCCGTGCTTCACGGTTGGGATGGTGTTCTTCGGCTTGCAAGTTACCCAGTTTTTCCTCCAAACATAACAATGGTCATTATGGCCAAACAGTTCTATTTTTGTTTCATCAGACCAGAGGACATTTCTCCAAAAAGTACTATATTTTTTATGGTGGTTTTGGAGCAGTGGCTTCTTCCTTGCTGAGCGGCCTTTCAGGTTATGTCGATATAGGACTTCCAGCATCTTCACAAGGTCCTTTGCTGTTGTTCTGGGATTGATTTGCACTTTTCGCACCAAAGTACGTTCATCTCTAGGAGACAGAACGTGTCTCCTTCCTGAGCGGTATGACGGCTGCGTGGTCCCATGGTGTTTATACTTGCGTACTATTGTTTGTACAGATGAACGTGGTACCTTCAGGCGTTTGGAAATTGCTCCCAAGGATGAACCAGACTTGTGGAGGTTTACACATTTTTTTCTGAGGTCTTGGCTGATTTCTTTTGATTTTCCCATGATGTCAAGCAAAGAGGCACTGAGTTTGAAGGTAGGCCTTGAAATACATCCACAGGTACACCTCCAATTGACTCAAATGAAGTCAATTAGCCTATCAGAAGCTTCTAAAACCATGACATCATTTTCTGGAATTTTCCAAGCTGTTTAAAGGCACAGTCGACTTAGTGTATGTAAACTTCTGACCCACTGGAATTGTGATACAGTGAATTATAAGTGAAATAATCTGTCTGTAAACAATTGTTGGAGTAATTACTTGTGTCATGCACAAAGAATATGTCCTAACCGACTTGCCAAAACTATAGTTTGTTAACAAGAAATTTGTGGAGTGGTTGAAAAACTGGTTTTAATGACTCCAACCTAAGTGTATGTAAACTTCCGACTTCAACTGTAAGTCATAATAATAAAGAATAAATAGGATACATGTAGGGTTAAGACAGACATTTAGTATGATAAACCAGATGTCAGTAGCCAGTGAGAGTAAACAAAACAACAGTTTAAATAGCCTGAAAAGATCAATGTGAGATTCCCACAGACAGTTGACCGCTGGGCTTATAAAACATTCAGTCCGCATCACAGGGTCTTCATCCCAAATGGCACCCTATTCCCTATAAAGTGCACTACTTTTGACCAGGGCCAATAGGGCTCTGGTTAAAAGTAGTGCACTATATAGGGAAAGGGGTGTCATTTGGGACATAGCCAGGGGAACTCTGTGCCAACTGATGATGTAACAGGATGCTGGAGCAGAACGGTCCAAAAACCCAGCTACAACAGAGCCAGGGTTCTTCTCCTGCCTCGCTTGTGTCCATCTAACCTTTATTTCTTTGCACCCTGTAATAAACCAGCATGTCATTCAGTGTGGCTGACGCAATTACAAAAGTTTGCTAGTTGGAGCACTGAGGCATTGCGGAGGCCACTGGCCATTGCTACATTCTGACAAGGCAAATGTTCCATTACTAATAGAGGCCTTGGTGGTTGCTCTCTTGTCAGTCACAAGAGAGCAACCGCCAAAATATCTCTCTCTCTCTCCCCTTGCAGGGAAATATTTTGGTGGGTGCTCTCTTTCGACTGACTCAGCCAGATCTCTCTCTCTCTGACATAGTGACATGTATTATTATTTTTTTTTTTACACTACATCACTGCTTCATCACCGTTCCGTGTGCATATTCAATTCCCAACAAGGAGGAGCCAAACTCAGAACCTGAGTCATAATTATAGAATGATTCACTTAGAGCACGGCTGTTCAAAAGACTGATACCTGACAGCTGCTCCATAAGCTGAGCAGAATCTGTAGTGGCCAACTTGTCTAACATACAGTACAGTACACAGCAGCAGCAGGGCTAAATGACTGGTGTGATTCAAGAGACTAGAGTCCAGTTGCTGCTTTGCTTTTCTGGCAGCTGCCCATCTGGGTCATCTTATTAGCCACGGCACCCATAGTGACCCTGGGTCTGATATAGCACATATCAGTGGCTCTCTGGCCAGCAGCAACACAGTACAGTACAGCACAGCAATACCTCCCCTCTCTGTCTGGCCAGCTGACGATAATGTTCACAGGGCTGAAGTAGGTAGCTAGGAGAGTCTAGGGGGTTGGACTGGAAGACATTACCAAAGCAATCCCTCCTTACCCAATAAATGTACCCAGTGGTGTAAAGTACTTAAGTAAAAATAATTTTATGGTTATCTGTACTTTACTATTTATATATTTTTTTACATTCTAAAAGAAAATAATATACTTTTTACTCCATACATTTTCCCTGACACCCAAAAGTACTTATTACATTTTGAATGCTTAGCAGGACAGGAAAATGGTCAAATTCAAACACTTAAGAGAACATCCCTGGTCAACCCTACTGCCTGTCAGTAATGCTGTAGGTGGGTGTAGTGGTGGAATCAAGCGCAGGACACCGAAGTATAGTCCAAAAGACTTTAGTGAAATTTCCAACAAGGAAAAATAGAACAAACTTGCCCGAAGGCGAAACTACGCACGTAGGCGACAAAACAAAAGGCGCACTACACAGGTGCGTAAAACGCTCCAACACAGTGGAGTAAAGCTCAACCGAGCGAATAAGTAATTCCTCCAAGCAAACACACGACAGAAATAAATCAATCACACACAACACTAGACAAACACAACGAGAAACTTATAGGACACTAATTACACTAAACGATAACAGGTGTCACAACAAACAGACAAAAGCAAACGAACATAGAAACATGCAACGGTGGCAGCTAGTATTCCGGAGACAACGAACGCCGAAGCCTGCCCGAACAAGGAAGAGAGGCAGCCTCGGCCGAAACCGTGACACTGCCTCTGATCTGGCAGACTTACTAAACACAAATGCTTCATTTGTAAATGATGTCTGAGTGTTGGATTGTGCCCCTGGCTATCTGTAAATAAAAAATAAAATAGAAATTGTGCCGTCTGGTTTGCTTTTGATCTTAAGTATATTTAAAATTAAGTACTTTTGGACTTTTACTCAAGTAGTATTTAACTGGGTGACTTTCACTTTTACTTGAGTAATTTTCTATTAAGGTATCTTTACTTTTACTCAAGTATGACAATTGGATACTTTTTCCACCACTGATTGTACCATTATGTGGATGCAGTGCTTACAACCAACAACAGCTATCTTGGAACTTCTTGATAGATAGCGTGCCATTAACACCAAAAGCTCTGCCTTCACAATCTGGAGGTGACAATGCTATCTAGATGAAATAGTAATTCTAGCACAATTGTTTTCGAAAACGACTTCAAATTTGCAACTAATTCAGTTAGCAAATTATAGATTGAAAGGTGAACTCCTAAACTAGTTGTATATCTTATTTTTCATAATTTAATGCTTAGCTATATCCATTACGTTTAATCTATTTAGAGATTCACATTTGCTTCCTGTTTTTGACTGTTTTAACACGTTATGTCACGATCATAACCATGTCATAATATGTCATAACAGCTGA